AGGAAGTGGGTGGGGCTTGGGAAGCTGGGCGAGAGGTTTCTCACTAATGTGTTGAAGATGGTCCAACCTGTCCTCCCTGTGCAGCAGCGAGCCGCCCTGTCACTCAGCTGGATGCAGTATGAGAAACTCAAGGTGGAAGTCAGATTCATTGCAAGAAAAACATTTTGATCCACTTAGTTTCAAGTACATTTTTTTTACATATTTGTGTGTTTATGTGTCAGGTGTTGCGGTGCCTGCATGGCGGCAACAAGAAGCGTCTCCGCTTTCAGGGCAAGAGCAGCAAGCGAGTCGCCAAGCAACTGCTCAAAGAACCTGACAACCGCTCGTCACTGGTGCTGTGGCGCGGCTACGCTCATCTGGAGTGGATGCTGGGCAACATCGACGAGGCCCGCAAAGTCTTCTCCACGGCCACGGCCATGGGGGGAGGCAAAGGGCTGCAGAGCCCCGCCCTCTGTGAGCTGTGTCTGCTGTGGGCGCAGCTGGAAATGGAGGACGGGCCAACAGTGCGAGGGGGAGGACTTGTAGACCTCACTGCGTCCCCAGCTGTGTGTGTGCTAACCAGGCTAGCAGAGGGAAGCTCCGCCTCCTCCGACCAGGCCATCTCTCCGGTCTCCATCCTGAAAGCCAGGAAATCGTATGAACAGGTGCTGACAGCCGGCTTGTCAGCACTCGAACAAAACTACCAGACCAACAAAAAAGGTTTACTCCATCAACATTTACCGTGCGTTATCACCACAGAGATGCTACCTGTGTCTTTAAAAAGGCCAAAATCAGTGGTTTTGCACTCCCATTTGCTCCTGGTCACTCAACATTACTGCTGGCAATTTTTCCTTTACACTTTTAGTGCATATTTAGCAACTTTTGATTAGCCAGTGTTTTCCAATACATGGGTTACAGCTTCAATGATGTTGACAGTGAACCTTAAGCTGTTAAGTCCTTTTTTCACAGAAGACATTTTGACATGTCACAGTAAGAAAATCACAGGGGTGAGTTCCATTAGCTGTAACACTTGTGCTTTCCCGACTATAACAGGTCTGACTGTCTCCTGGGAAAACGGTCTTATCTCTAATTAATCTGACCTTCCTTCATCTCATCATTCCACCAGCAGGTAAGGAGGACCTGCTTGGAGAGAAGCCTAGGCTGAAAGGCCTGATGGGATGCCACGCTCTGTTCCAGTACCTCACAACGGGCATCCAAGCCGCTAATGCTGTCTACAATCAGGCTAGAGACAGGATGGAGGAGCTGCACCAGAAGTTGACCCAGGACAAGCAGCTTAACAGCTCTGAGGATGTCGCTAGCACCGACGCTAACCAGTCTGATTCCAGCCTCTCCTGCAGGCAGTATGTTAGCCGGCTAGCTTCTGAGTGTGAGGCTCTGGCAGTGCAACAGGCAGCGTTGCTTAGGTACCACAACAGCATCAGTGTGTTTCCCCTGGCAACACTGAGGCAGACACTGACCTCCGCCCTCTCCACGTGGGCCGGCAGCGCCCCTCTCTGGGGTTTATATGTACAGGTAGCTCATTTAAGTTTTAAATAATCCAAATAAAATCGGTTATTATTTTTGTACGATGACCCTAACGTGACCTATGTTCCAGGTGGAGAACCGTTACCATAGTGCTGGCCGGGCGCGACGCTTCTTCCACTCTGTAACCAGGGGCAACAGCAGTGTAGTGCCACGCCTCTTTGCCATTGTTGCGGAACAACAGAGGAAGCAGCTGGTTGACGCTGCTCAGAGGTAAGAGTAGAGAGGATGATAGGTAGGTGTGGGGTCATCCTGCACCCCTATTGTGTTCTTGCAAAATTACCATTACATGTTAATAATTGCATATATATGTGTATAGGTCTTGTTGCCATGATGCTGCCTTACCAATCCTGCCAGAGAATGGGCTCAGCAACCGTATCCGTGGACTGTTTGAAAGCGCCATAGCAACAGAGATGGGGTCTCACTGTCCTTTACTTTGGAGGATGTACATGCACTTCCTGGTGAGACGGCAAATAACACGCACATATTCACGTTTACAGCCCTTTTGGAAACCTGAATACTTGTCCTTGACCTTTCAGTCAGAAAGATAATACAAACTATCGGAAATAGAGAATATTTTATACAACTACCCATAACGACATGGTTACAAACTTCACTTAGAGGGCAAATACCTGCTTGCTATGCCTTTATGATATTAGTTTGTTCAGTGCAGTTATTTTTCTAAATATTGATTTGGAGATAGAAGTATAATAACTTACACACACAGTAAGCCTGTGCAAATATTGACAGTCAGTTTAGTCCTTAGTCTATGTGTTTTACATGTGTGTGTTTTCGTAGGTTTCAGAAGGGAAGGTGGACAAAGCCACTGGGATCTTCTACAAGGCCTTACAGAATATTCCCTGGGCTAAGGTGAGCTACAGACTTAAAAGTGAAGTAATTGACTCACATAAAGTACATGCATTTATTGACATTTTTTAAACAATGGTAATATATAACACCAATGAATATATAAGGGTTAGAGTGGAACATCTTTATTTAGATTGTGGTTTTGTTATCCCGCCGACAAAAAAACTAATTCAGGCGATCCTCTTGATTGTTTGCAGTTAATACCAATAAATAAATAAAATAGTAGTTAATTGTATTGCTCCTTAATTCAGACAACAGAATATAATACTTTTAAAGGACCCAAGAAAACCATGATTACAGCTGCCAACCTGTTTCATCTCATTTTTTAATTGCATGCACAAGAACTTAATTCTCCCTCTCTCTCTTTGTGTCGGTGTGTATACAAACATTTGAATCTATTCAAATGTGTGTGTGTGTGTGTGTGTGTGTGTGTGTGTGTGTGTGTGTGTGTGTGTGTGTGTGTGTGTGTGTGTGTGTGTGTGTGTGTGTGTGTGTGTGTGGTGTGTGTGTGTGTGTGTGTGTGTGTGTGTGTGTGTGTGTGTGTGTGTGTGTGTGTGTGTGTGTGTGTGTGTGTGTGTGTGTGTGTGTGTGTGATCAGGGCTTGTACATGGACGCGGTGCAGCTGTTCCCCGAGCATCTGCAGGAGTTTGTAGATCTGATGACAGAGAAAGAGCTCCGAGTCAGACTACCTTTGGAAGAACTGGATATACTGCTGGAGGACTGAACACACACACACATCTCATTCAAGAAGTCAAATACACAGCACCGTTGATAGCAAGAACAGGAGACATACACACAAACCAGATACTTACACTTACAGGTGCCATGCTTTGTACATAATGGTTTATTTTCACATAAGGCCACCAGAACTGTGTTTTTAGTACCAGACACTATTAATAAATATATGATTCTCATTTGTATGCTGTGGGTCTGTTTATGCTTATCAGTGCATGCACACTGAGGTTAGGGGCCTGTGTTTAAAATAAAATATTGTAAAAGTCCATGACAGTGTTAATTAAATGAATTGTAACCTTATACTGAGAAATTAGAAAGTGGGAAAGAAGAAAACATATTCTTCTTTCTTTTAGCCTGCATATTCAATTAAGAGTTATCGTAATTTAATCGAGAATTGAATTCATATTGAGATATTAATGTATTACCTTTTTTTAATGACTTCTGGCCTGGGTAACACGACTCCCGATGATGATAAGGTTAAATGTTAAGTATCCCTGCACCCACCTTGGTGAAAGACAATCTTACCCAGATACCAAGAATAGCAAAAGATCATACTGGCAGACAGTGTCAAGTTCAAAAAGTTATCACTTTCCACATGGTCCGTTCTAGCTTTCACTTATTTTGTATATTAAATGTCACCATGCGAACAGAGCTACTCTAAAATATGCCACAGTTTAACTATGTGCAGTTCCTATTTTTATTCATTTTAAGAACTACATTGTAAACCTGGGCTTTCAGTCTAATTGTTAAGCGTATATAAGGTTATTCTAATTCGTTGACTTCCTCAACTCACCTGTAACTTACCTGAAACCTTTTACTTGCCCTATTTGTATATTACTAAAAACCCAGCATATATTGCACACAGTGCACGGTGGAGTCGCTCCCTCCTGCCATCGTTTCCGCGCCGTGGTTTGGCGCATTGCAGATCCGACCTGGCCAATCAGCGGCATCTGTACAGCGTTCAGAATATTGCGGGTCTGCTCTCTCCAATCAGAATCAGCCTCTCAAAAGCAAAACCGCAACTTCCCCAGTGCCGTCAGCCGCGAATGTGTCCTTCCGCCTGCATACAACTCTGTAACACAAACTAGTGCGTCATTTCGACATTAAAAAACGAAATAAATATGAGAAAACCTCACCATTTATGTTTAAAGGACAAAGACCACTGTTGTGATCATCTAAATTATTCTAATACAAAATATCATTATCTTTTTTATCCCTTGACAGAGTTGACCTAATAATGAATCTCCACTGCATTTCACTAGGCTTTATTTTATGACAATAATTAAAATGTCGTTTTTTTACAAATTATTCCACACTATCACTTTGATTTAGAAATACATAATGTCGATGCAAACATTTAAATATAGACACCTGTTGCAGTTAATCTGGTTCATAACTACAAACAAGGATTAAGGCCACAAGTATGTGAAACATTCAGCTCACATGTGAAGAATGTGTTTGGGTTCTGAGTATATAAGCGTGTTTATGATTGTGATGCCAGATTTAATGGCAGCCAAATACTGAGACTTCAGCACACTGTGATGGGTGCCAGGTTGTGTGGTTTATGACTGCACATGTTTAATAACAGAATATTGGCCAGTCCTGCATTAATAAAAGGTGTTGGGCTATGCCAAGTAGTATTGCTGGCTCTTCATTTATTGAGAACTTGAAGAGGACCTGGTACTTAGTCTTGGTTTCAGTAGGTGATGGTCAGCCCTTTCCATAATGGGTTAATCCAGATTTAAACAGCATGCAATATAAAATGTGTACCTGTCTTTAGCTTGCTTTCCTAAATTAATCATCGTTTTAAACTTAGAAAAACAAAGATAAGGGTTACTTCTCTATAGGAAACATGACAACCCCAAAGACAGGTACGCGCACAGCATCAGGCTCTTGTTTATGTGTGCGTGTGAGCAAACAGTAGGCCGCCTCACTGATAGAGCGTATTTCCCCACAGTGCGGAGGAATACACTGAGCCGTACAGCAGTGGTTCGTCCTGCCCGCCCGCCTCCAGCCAGCCTCGCTCAGTGGCAACCTTCCATTTCCTCTCTTCCTGTAGCGTTAGCAGACCAACGTACCCAACCCGAACAAACATGGTGAGTTACTACTCTATCAATTATGTTTCTTCATATGCGTGACTTTATATTTCGTTGGGCTGATTATATGCCAACAAAGGGGTTATAAATTCTCTCCGGATAGTCGTTTTGTTTTAATATGCTGCAGTCTCCATTGCACCGTTGAGTGAGCTAACGCTAGCGGACTAGCTGTTAACACTGGGTGCTAGACAGCGCGAGGAGCTTATCATATCATTTATGATTAAGCTCGTGCACACCAGTGGAATAATAGCGGTATTAATTCAGCACTGAAGTGTAACACCACGTGTTGCAGGTGACCACGTACTGGCAGGAGTTGCTGCGGTTCGGTTTACAGCCCATGTTAGCATCACAGCTAATGGTAAATTCACTTTGACTTATGTTCCGCTACCTGACAGCTGGAACATCATTCCATTGTATCGCTGAGGGTGTTAACGTTATTTTGCTTCGGCGTTGGTAGTGGAGACGAAATTGTTTGTACAAATCAGATTTTTTGACCAGTTAGATTCACAGCTACGAAAGAGGCTGATGATGATGAGGAGGAGATGGGCTGTCGTTACAGACACATCTTCACTATTGGACACCGGTTTATGCTGCTACAGCTATTGCCAATGGTGTAATGTATTGAAGTACATTTACTCAAGTGCTGTACTTAAGTACGATTTGGGGTACTTAAAGCATTTCCATTTTAAGCTACTCTACACTTATACTTTACTTAATCTTAGAACTCAACATTGTACTTTTTAACTCTACTACATTTTTTTAAACAGAATTAGCTACCCGTTATTTACATATTCAGATTATAATCAACATTATAAATTAAGATATCGAGCAGCAGTACATACAGTAATTTCAGTACATACAGTAATTAGCTCCACCTTTATCAGCAGTGATTAACACATTAATGCATGATAAATTATAATCTAGTAAATTAATATACAAGATTCTAAAATGGGACATTGCATTTTATCACCCTTCCAATCGTATTTATACAGTGTCATTTGCCATAATACGTATTGATAACAGCTAATCCAAGTACATTATGTAAGCATTGTAAAAACTGCAGTGATAATAACCAAGAGTCCTAATTAGGTCACGTAATATGGTGTAACACCTGTGCATGTTCTCTTTGCCCCATGATAAACCAGATCTACGTTTGTTGCTTTAAAGATGTTATTTGAACACCAAGCTTTATTCAGATCACTTTTTTGGTGGTTTCTGATTGATATAAGAAGAACTGTCTGGGCTATTCCATCTATCTGACGATTCCAAGCAAAAAGAAAACCGGTTTATTCTGGGTACATAGCTATGCAAAAATATGAGATCTGGTTTGTTTGTCCATCAATGCACAATGGAAGGTTCTTAGTCAGTGTCCCTGGAAACAGTCCCCAGGCAGGGCTAGCATCATATGCCAGTCATGATCTGTAGTTTATAGCTTGCAGTCATGTAATCATTAGGGGAAATGTGATCATATGACCCCTTCTCCAGGCTATATGCAAGTCATAAATGAACACAATCACTGTGTAAAAGATGCAATCTGTTGAACACATTGTTTGTTCCGTCATTATGCAGGGAACATCTCCTACTTCAGTAAACGCCATGAGACATTCCTGCAGCACTGCAACATGTCACTTAATTGCATGGTTGTATTGGGGAGAAATATTTACGGGACATAGTGCACCTCCCTCATTTTCGTGTCTTAACCAGTAGACTGTTTTTTCTTTACACCAGTAGAATGACTTTAGTACAGTTACTTGAAGTTGTATGGTTGGTTGTCTCAGCAGTGGGAAAATCTAAGCTTAATTTATAGAGATTTTTTAGGCATTTGCAGCTTTTTAAAGGTAACATAATTTATTGCAGATTTAACTTTGGGTTAGCCTAACTGAATAGAATAGCAGAATGAGCTGGTTTGGAGTAATAACTCTTCATTTGATTATTCCTATTTGATGATTTCAAAATGTAATTCTTGTCCCTTCTTGTTGTAGTATTACAACCTGGAGCTACCTGTTGGACTATCTATCATAGACAATGTTTCATACAGGAAGTAGCCAGTGGGATTAAGAAATATCTGTAGCAAATTGAAATTGTCATGGTGACTTAACATTCAGGGGTTTATTTAAGAGAAAAAATACATGTCTTGTCAGTCATCAAATGTGCTCGTGTTTAGCCTACTTGAAGTGAGAATATACATCAAAACTATGTTTCTACCCTTCAGCATTTGCTTTAGTGTAGTAGTGATTATATGTCATGCTCCAATAAAACATGTTCTTACGAAAATGACCACATTTAGTGATGATGTACTCGGTGTCCAACAGGAACATGTTCTGTGTTGCCAGGCATTGCAGCGCCTTGAGAGGAATTTGGCCCGGGTATTAGAGGGGTTAGCAGCTTGTTAACCACCGCTACAGCACACACTCATGCATACATTCAATTTCACACACAAACATCCTCGCTGTTATCTTCATCCAAGTTATGAAAGCACAACTTTCAGTGCTTGAGAGCAGTGATACCTTAGATGAAACATTTTAGCTTTGCCCATTATTCTCAATGTTCTCCCTCTTAGTCTCTGTCAGACAATTACAAATATCGTTAAAAATCATATATCAATATTTAGAGATTGGATTATCATCATTACCTTCATGAATTGAATTTAAAAATACTTAAGACATTTCATAAGGGTTTTCAGAAAATCAGTACATGCTTCGACTCTAAATATCTGGCAAATTCTTATGTGTATTTATATTGATTACAATATTGGTTAAAGGAGAGGTGTCATGGCCATTTCCACTGATCATAATTCCATTGTTGAGGTATACTAAAATAGATTTATATTGTGCAATTTTCCAAACTCACATTGGTTTCTCATACAGCATCTCTGTAAAGTATGTGTATTCACTGAAGTTCACTCTCTGCCTTTAACGGCTCGTTGTAGCTCCAATAGCTCCAGCCCCCACCCTCCGCTCCACGGATTGGTCCATTTGGTTCCGGGTATCGCGTTATAGCTCTGGGCGTGGCTACTGGGTATCCAGACGTCACGATGCCCAGGAAGAACATGAGAAATCTCCAACGAGGCGTTTTGGGGAGGTCTTTTCTGTGTTAGAGTTTTACTCGCTACAGGGTGTACTTTGAGGGGTTTTGACTCTGCAGACCGTTTACATGCATAAAAACCTTCATAACACACAAGGGGACGGGTAATAACTGGAAAAGCATGACACCTCTCCTTTAAGTCTTAGAAAAAGGGCAGTTTTCCATTTGTGGCTCATTTACCTTTAAACAACCCTTATAAGGCCAGTATTAGTGTTTATTAAAACAAATCTGACATGATTGTATAACTGCTGTAACGCCAGCCGCCGCCTAAAGTAGTGTCTTGCTGAGAATGGTTTCGGAACTAGAAAAGTTCCTGAAAGATACCACAGTGTTCCTATTAGCTGTTGTTACCACCATCTTGGAAATGTAGGGTTGTTGTAACGTAATAAAGTGTTTTCACTTGGTAGGTGAAAAAAAAGAAAGAAGTATACTCTGATTTACAGATGTCTGTTTTCCAATGTAAATCAATGGGGAATAAGTATTTTCAGACCCAAATGATGTTAGTACAGAAATGCAGTACCATCGTTTGGCCACTACAAACATTTGCTTCATTGGCTGGTGCACTTCCTGGGGGCTTGGTGTGGATTGGGGTGGGGGTTATTTGGCATGACCCATGATGCTCTCTTGGAGGTCTGCTGACCAGCCAACTGATCCTCCCCAGGAGCTGCAACTGTAGCAGCGAGATGACAGGCCACAGTTTAACGCTTGCATACAGACACACACAGACCTCCCCTAGTCTGGGCACTGTTACCCTCACCCACCTTAAATCAATTTTCCTGACACGTTTGGGTGACCTCCTCTGGCCTGGCCTCTACACACACACACTCTCCCTGTCTGTCTGTCTGTCAAAGTGTTGAAGGCTATTAATCTCTTGAGTTACTGCAGGAGGTGGACACTTCATCTGTGCATCCATCTTTATTGTATATCTGTTGGAGAGACAGCTAAGCCTTCACTGACATGGAGACACAGGCAGTGGGGTTCTCTTTTGCCCCAGCCAGTTGGAGTCAGATGCAGCCGGGGAAGGACAGCGTCTGGTCACGTACATTCACAGTCCTGCAGGACACAAGGACAGGGAGAAAGATCAACAGTATTGAGAGACAGACAGTCGGATGGACACGTAACCAGGAGAACATCAACAGAAGGACTGGCTTTCCATCATCTCAGCCAATGGAAGAGAGAGACGTTTGCCACTCCAGAGGGACTGTGAAAACTTCTGTCATCCATCCACTGACAACTAATGGATTGAAAGACAACTATCCAGTTATCTGATCACCATTTACAAGTCCATCCTACTATCTACAAATCCTTGAAGACTGGAAACACATTTGTTTTGCAATCTACTCAAGTTTCCTCACCAAAAGTTATGTAACTATTCAGAGATGGCTAAATCTTTTGTCCACCATTCCCTCAATCCATCCATCTTACAAATCGACTGATAGATGTCTGGCCATCATTTTTTGCCTCCACCTGCTCCTCCCATGCTCAGACATCATTCCTGCCCTTCCTGCCGCCATTCCCTCGTCATGCTGCCTAAGCAAGTCCCCCTGTACCCACCAGAGGAGGATCTGGTGAGCCTGTCCACCGTCTACGACCTGTTGGACGAACAACAGCACTACTGCAGGGAGCTAATCCAGCAGCAGGAGAGGAACTACAGAGCCTTCCTGCAGATGATGATGGACTCGTCGTCCAGCCGCATGGACAGCCTGGTCCGAGAGATGCAGGACCTGAGGAGCTGCCTACAGAGGACCAATTCGGAGCTGGCCGAGGTTAAAAAGCAGGGTGTGCAGAACGGCAAGCGCGCCGAGTGCCTAGCTGAAGGTCTGGTGACGGTGCGAGGGGCGCTGGACGGCCTCAGCATCAAACAAGGAGCCTTCGGGGGAAGCATGGGAGGAAGAGGTGTAGATCTGAAGCAGCGCAAAGGTGGTGGCGGGTTAAGGCTGGACGGGGGAGGAAGAGTTGGCGAGGCGAAAAAAGCCGCCCCAAAAGCAGTGATGCTGGTGGCAGACCTCACAGATATCCACTTTGATGATATAAAGGTTGTACACAGACACAAACATTTAGAGAGCCAAAACTAGGACCCTCAATGTTCTTAAATAGTAGTAATGGTGATTATGGTAGATACTGGTCACTGGCTGTGACTGGACTTCAGTATAATTGTGCTAGGGGGCGTGGTCACCTACTTCCATTTAGCGTAAGGTTTGACCTATGATTGTTGCAGTATGATGGCTGTTGCTGATTGGCTGTAGGAAGATGCGTTTGAAAAATGTTGGAAGTACAGCATAAATAGTGCGTTGGTCCCGGACATGTTTTTTTTTAATAATTCTGTCACTATTTGCGCCCAATCCTTTACCTCAAAGACGAAGCTATTTTGTATTTTTCAAATTGTATTAATTTGTAATCTCTTCCCTTTTTTCTGCCTTTCTCCGTTTGTTTCGTAGGCTGATCAACTAACAGAAGAGCAGATTGCAGGTAAGGTGATAACAAGAAAACACATTACCATGTATTTCCATCTTTTACAGTAAACGCATTCTCTGCCCATGCGTTTGGTTACATCTGCTGTTGCTAAGTTTTCTTCTTTCCCACTTGTGTCTGTCCAGAGTTCAAGGAGGCATTCTCCCTGTTCGATAAGGATGGAGATGGCACCATCACCACCAAGGAGCTGGGCACCGTCATGCGGTCACTGGGTCAAAACCCAACCGAGGCCGAGCTCCAGGACATGATCAACGAGGTGGACGCAGATGGTATGCTGACTGGATTTTGTTGAGCTGGTCAATATAAACCTCTCTTAGCTTTATACAGGGTTCCCGCAGGGTCTTAAAAAGTCTTACATTTGAGTTGGTGAAACCTGCAGGAACCCTGTTTATTGACTGACTGTATTTATAACTTCCTTTCTCTGCGTCTCAAGGCAACGGAACCATCGACTTCCCAGAGTTCCTGACGATGATGGCGAGGAAGATGAAGGACACTGACAGCGAGGAGGAGATCAGGGAGGCCTTCAGGGTCTTTGATAAGGTGTGTGTCTGTTGCGCTGTGAAGATGAGGCAAACTGAAAATGTATTTTGTTTTTCTCATCAGCAGTTAAGCTTTAAAACTCAATACTTGTTCATACAAAATCTGAATTTCCCTAAACTAAAAAAACATGCAAAAAGTTATATTTTAGCATTTTGATAGCGGTGTCAACGCAAACACTGGCAAAATGGCTAACTGAGCTAACGGCAGCTACTGTTAGCAGCAGTAAGTGTTAGTTTAGCAAAGTAAAGCTTTTTGACCATCAGGAAACTCCATAAATCCTAGTTTTGAGGCAGAGCAGACGGACAACATCAGAGGGATAACCAGGGGAAAAGATCTCCATGAAATATGATTCAGTTTCACTACAAATCAATAAAGTGCGTAAACCCTTACTCACTTCTCCCTGGATATTGTACAGCTTACTTAACCAAGAACAGGCGTTTCAGGCACAGATCAGTGTAGCACCACAATCATTTTAAAGCTGTAAAATGGTTTTGTGATTGTAAAGAACGTCTACATGTTAAAGCTGTGTGACTGACTGTAATGCTGTGTGTGCTTCGGGCAGGATGGCAACGGTTACATCAGCGCGGCAGAGCTGCGTCACGTGATGACCAACCTGGGAGAGAAGCTGACAGATGAGGAAGTAGACGAGATGATCAGAGAAGCAGACATTGACGGAGACGGACAGGTCAACTATGAAGGTACAGGAGAGCAATATGTCTTCAAACGTAGCCACACATTTATTTTGAACAGTTTTATATTACACAATCTCAAAACTGTTGCTAATGAGTATTATTTGTTTCCGCCCACAGAATTTGTTCAGATGATGACCGCCAAATGAACTGGACTCGCACTGAAGACAAAGAATCAGTCAAATGTTTCACTTACCTCTTATTGCAAAAATCTACATTTATTCATACTGTTCTGTATAGACAACTTAAACTGAATGTTGGAAAACTGAAATCTGTCCATATAAACAAGCTCAAAAAAGGTAAAAAAAAGACAAAAAGAAAAACTCAAAATGAATCTGCATGTACTGGCTTGTATTCCCCGCCCCCCAGCACTGAGCTGCCCAATCAGATCTCACTTTGTTAGCCAAGCAGTCTCTCCGCAGCCGGCTGATTGGCCGCTGCTCGTCTGCTTCCTGGTTCCATCTGCTTCCTGGTTCCATCTGCCTGATGTTATGACGGTTCTATGGGCTGGCCAATCGCCTTTCTTCTAGGACTTGTTGTTTTCTTTCTTTCTGTTCTTCATGCATGCAGCTTTAGATGGGTTACTGTTGAGAGCCCAATGGCAGGCGGCTGTTGTTGGGCCCTCAGGTTGGCCTGGGACCCACAGAGAGGAGGGAGGGGTTAGGTGACAGATGGATGGGGGGTGGGGGAGTAAACCAGGTTGCTCACCTTGATGAAGTCGGTGAAACAGAGATATTTTTAAGAACACTTTAAAAATGGAATAACCAACTAAGAACTCATTTTAGATTCTGTGTTTCTGGCATGTCAGGATATCCGCTTTATCCTTTGTGTGTTTACCTTTTTTGAGGGGGTGCGGCATAGATTGAGCCCCTTGGGTGTTGTATGTTTGGAGGGGTGGGCTTAAAGATGATCATGTGCAAGAGCAACTTTGGGGCAATATCAATATCATGAGTATCGAGTTCTGTGAGATTTGCAATCTGTGGTTATCACCAAACTCGGGTACAGTTTATTGCCTCAAAGCTGGTATCATGATTCTACGGGGGTGTTCATTTCAGTTTAGTGGGGGCAGGGTCGGTGCTTTGCGGCATTTCTATCTTGTGTTTGTGTGTGAGTTTGCGTGTGTAAGTGTGTGTGTGTGGGTGCGGCGAGGCCCGGCCCAGTCCAACTGTTCAGTTCAGTTGATCTGCATTCCAAGTTGTACATGCTAGTCTTTACATTTTGTTTTTCCAATAAAAAACCATGAACTTTAACTCAGTGGGTCCTCCTGTGTTTGAGACTGGTGTTTTCTCTGGGGGGGGGGTTCTGTGGGGGAAGTGCTGCGGGAAAATGACTCATCTGTGCTGCTTATAGCATGGGATGTCTTTATGAGAGTGGACGTGTGAGCAGGGAAACTGAAGCACACTATAACATCTTTTTGGAGCGGAATCTGTCATCGAAATCTCCTTAATAAGCAATTATTAAAAAGCTTGTCTGGTTTTAAACCAACTCTAGATAAAATAGAGACAACAAGTTACAACAAGTCTCGGCGTTGGATACAAAAGCAAGTGATTGCACAGCATTGGAAATCAAAGGAACACTGGCAAATAGAGAAAAATACTATTCAAACCAGAGATTTAAACATAGCATGATTGATCTTTTCCTGGTTGATCCAGTTTTTTAAAATAGAACCACTCCATGAAATGAAAAATGTCCATCACATCATGAGGAAAAAGATGCATTAAACGTCTTAATTAATACTAATACACCAGTGTGTTTGCAATATACACATTTTGACATGTATATGATGCATTATATTGCACAAGGTGCATATCTTGACATAATTCTCCAATGTTTATATTTTATTAAATCTTTATTGCAATTTTTTTTGCTTTAACTCCTTTGTTAAAAAACACAATTTAATCTCTTTTATTGCTACTTTTGTCATTTATATATTGATATTTTCTATTTATTGCATATTCATTGCACAATTTTCGTTAACTTCCTTTTATTGTTTATATATTTTAATTAGTTTTGAAATGAAGCTACAACCCGATATCCCCCGGAATATTCTGATTCTGATCAAAGGAGCTTTTTAAAACAAGTGTCCCAAACACTATTGAGTGTTATGAACTGTCACGCCTTCACTTTTCTACTGGCACCATCAGTGTATATGTGGCAGTGTTTATTAGGGGGGGGGGGGTCACAAGGACTTCTCCAGATCGTCTGTCTGCAGATGAGGAGGTGTTGCTAGGCAACAGAGCCAGGCATGTGGTGGGTGGAAGTGGAAGAAGAGGGAGCAGAAAACCGTGGGAGTTTGAGGAGAGCAGGAGAGGAGACGGTGGGGGGGGGGGCTAAGACAATAATAGAAACCCAGGCAGGAGGAGGGATGAAAAGAGATTCACAGTGCGTCTTAAAAACAAATACCCCCCCCCTCCTCCTGAGAGGCCTTGTGCTTCACTCTGATGCTGAAGCTGCTTTTATTTAAAGTGTTTGGCCTAAAAAGTCTTTTTAATCCAACAAAAACACATCAAGGCTTCTCTGTGCTTCTTCACTGCCAGCTGTGTCAATAAGCATCACACACACACACACACACACACACACACACACACACACACACACACAGATGGAGAAAGAAAGAGGAAAGCAGTCACTTTATCCATCATAGTAGCTACGGTTATGTAACTGTCTGAAGTGGGACAATATGTCTTGCTTGCTGCCGTATTAACAGCGTCTCTACAATACAGGCGCCTTAAAATCACCCCACACACACACACACACACACACACACACACACACACACACACACACACACACACACACAACCCCCACTCCTGCTCCAGCTTTCACACACATACATATTTCAGTTCCTCACCTGACAGCCAAGAGAGTGTGTGTTAGGGTTGGACGTCCCATGATACTGTATGGAAAGATATTCCAAATATTACGGTTATTATTTTCCTTGTTGTGTCTTTACTCCCAACATGCTTTGTTCCTTTGTGTAAATCACTAAACATTTGCTAAAAAAAATGCTCATGTAAGTAACCTAATGCACACACAACTCTTTAGCGCTGAAAAACAATCGAATTTTAGAAACACTGGTGTGTCGTTTTGCAGTTCCAAAATAACAATATTTTCTCTTATGGTTTTTTAACTCTAACACTGACTGTAATCACCAACAGTGGGCGTCTAGTCTCAGGAGAATCAGCCAGATTTAGATTCAGATTAGATATTGGGTGAGTTGAAATTCAATACTCTTAATGAACCGTGTGAGTCACTAATTATCATGCTTTGAACAATATATGAAGAACTACATTATTTTTAAAATCTTTACTAAAACAAAAAATATGATTTCCAATAAAAAACAACCAATGTCCCAATTTTGTGTTAAATAATTTTACTGTAAAAAGCTGAAAAAAATAAGAATTTTCCATCCATCAATATTCTAACGCTTATCTGAGTCGGGTACCCAGCCGCTTGTTCTTTCGGTCATGACCCATCCTTCATAGTCATCGGTGAGGGTAGGAACGAAGAGGGACCGGTGGACTGAGACTTATCCCAAATTCATGTAAAAAACATACTATGATTGCACACAATTTAAATACACATTTGGGAAGAAATAGAAATCCTAAGAATATGAATAAAGGGGCCCAACACAACATGAAATGGGGAAAAAAGGATCTAACAAAGAGTGCGATTATGTGTAAAAATAAATGTGCTCTGTCACGTGTGTTTCTGGTTCTTGCGCTTATTGGACTGTCAACTTAGTTATTTTAAATATTGAAGGGACCCTATTGACTCCTTTATGTATTTTATAATTCCTTTTTGGTCTGAGAGGGTGTTGCTTACCCGTACAGTTGTGTCTATATTTGTATCTCTTGTCTGTGCTAAACAAAACATATTAAAAGAACATTTAGCCAACCAACTAACATTTTACTGAACAATGTGAACTTCCTGGATGAGGTCGTGACCTTTAAAGGGAGACTAATTGTTAGTGATACCTGCAGTCTGGCAGCAGTGTGTGTGTGTGTGTGTGTGTGTGTGGGGGGGGTGATCCTGACACTCACAGACAAAGCCTGTCAGCGCTGTAATCCTCTGATAAAAACACACAAAGGAGGACACATCTATGCACTGACAGACACACACCTGAGAGAGTAACACACACCGCTGGCCCGAGGTCACAGCGAGAGGGAACACCACACACAGAATATCGCAGCATAGCCTATGTACAAATACTGCGAGATCTATTAAGCATGATAAGCCGACGCTTTGTTAGCATTCAGTTAGCATAGCATTAGCCATGTTAGGTCTGTCTGGATGATTCTATAGCTGTCAATAAACCTGTAGATTTGAAGGTCCTTTATCCACACACTTGTAAACTTTACATGGGCCTCCAAATGTTTAAATCGCCGACATCAGTAACAGTGATCGGTCCGTTTTCTCTGAATTCATATGGACAGATGACATTAGTTAACTCTTTTTAATATTAATAATGCTCCACTGTTAGTACTTATAGCTTCTCTTTGTAAGGGCATTTATATTTCGCACAACCTTTATTAATGTTGGTCGGAATACAGCTGACAGATGACTGGTGAAAGCTGATAGATATTGACACCTGCAAGGGTTGCTAATTACGCTATCCTCCTAAAATGGCCACGATGCCCCAGAATGCACTGCGGTTCCCATTGCGAAATTCAGCATATTGCAGAAAATAATCTTTGTGGTCAACAGACGTTAAACAATACTAAACACATTTTTTTCAGCGGATTCGCTAACACCATGTTGTTTATTTTTCAATCAGTCAAAGTAAATAGCAGCTTCGGATATTCACGGGTAGAGTTTTACTGACGTATTTTATATCGTAGGCCAAAACGTGTAATCTCTTCAGCTTGGTTAACACCAGACCTTATGTCAGATTTTTAACGACAAACACGTTCAATAAGTTGAGTTCGAGACGAGGGAACAGGAAGTGGGTTTTCAAATGTGGGACACATTTCTGCTCCACTTTAATACATTGCCTGAAACCATGTATGTATACAATGATCCAGTTCTCATGCAGACAGAATAAGAGAGGTGGAGGACTTGCCACCATTTTCTCTAATGACTTCACATGTTCCAAGTGCTGTTTTGGAGACTCTTCTAGCTTTGAATACTTAACTGTTACAATCTACGTATCGACCCCCTAAGCACAACGCCAATTTCATCTCTGAGTTTTCAGATTTTATGTCAATAGTTCTTACCAGTTACGATAGGATTACAGCTAAATCTCGAAACATTTGAATATCGTGTAAAAGTTGATTAATTTCAGTATTTCTATTTAAAAAGGGAAACTCATATATTATATATGATGTGTTTTAATCTTGATGATTACGGCTTAGAGAGAACCCAAAATTAGAATATTGAAAAAATGTGCCGCCAAATGCTCTCATTGATTGAGACGCGTGATGACGCCCTCCCTAAGCCAATACTGATACACACACATAATACACACGTAATAAAAAACTGTTAATGCGAGATAAAATAATTGTTGGCATTAATGATTTAATGCCTTAACGCGATAATAACGCGTTAACTTGCCCAGCCCTAATTTTAATACTATGCTTGAATCAAAACAATTGTTTCAGATTAATGAACACTTTTCCACCCTCGCACGCTGGCTCTGTTGATCTAGTGCACAATAATTAAAAAAAATACAATATACAATATTATTATTATTATTATTATGTTCAAACACAATAAAACAGACAGACAAGAAGTCTCGCATGTTTTTAACCACTTTTATTATCTTTATCATTGTCATCGTTATCATTTCAGTCATTCATTTACAGCAAAGGACTCAGTGAGCGAGCTCCTTTTATTCCTCCGACTGCATCTCAGTAACACAGCTCTCCAGAAAATAGAATTATAATTGACTTTCTAAAACAATATCAATACACTTTGAACAATCAAATATACAACAATAATCCTTTGCATGTATAATCAAATGAAAAGTATATTTATCTGGTGTTTAACGTGACACTGGCTGGACACAGAACACACTATAACCAGTTGCATTTACACACACAAGGAAATCAGATTTTTGAGAGAACTCTCTTCACATTCGTAACTACATACTTATCATTTGTTCAAAATTCATTTTTAGGTTTTTACAGCACTTACATGAAATTGCAACATTATATTATTTCTGTTTGACTATTTGTATTTGGCACTCTTATGTGTTCAGTTAATGGGAACATATGCAAATGTATAGAATGTCATGGAAATATGAGTAAACAAGGGAGTACACTCGACCTGCAACGATTGGTCGATTGACAGTAAAATAATCGTCAACTTTAGGAAAAGGGCCCTATTTGTATGTCGTGTCTCTACTCTGACATGTCTCCATGCTTTAATGTTCAAAAGCTCTTTATTTCTCTCATGTGCTGCAGCACCTCTTTTCACCCTCTGTCTGAAACCAGAGCCCAGTCTGCTCTGATTGGTTAGCTGGCTGGCTCTGTTGATTGGTCCACCGCTTAGAGATGCCCTCCCCTTAGCCTATCATGTACAATGTGTTGGAGAGCTAGCCAATAGAAGCAGAAGTGTGACAGTGATGTCACACTTGTTTGAGCCTTTGCAGACCCTTTCCGTAACACAGTAGAGGGAAAGGGAAACCCCCAAAAAGCTCAACAGGGCCTCTTTCAAATGGATTCATCTTTTTAATCTGCAATTTCTCATGCAAAAATATCACAAAAAGCTCTCAAATCCAGATGTTCTTCTTTTCTCTGTTTCAAATCATACTACATTGATTACCCTTGAGGTATTGACTGCCATAAAAAGACATTTAAATATTTTCAGACACTTTTTGGACTAAACGATTTAGCTCATAAGAAATTGTCAGATTAATCGACAATTTAAACATTTGTTAGTTGAAACAGATAAGACAACATGTGCTTGAACGAAAATAAAAAAAAGAACAGCCATCAGTTTGGACATCAGCAGATTTATATCTCATCTCCTGTGTGTAGATGCAGCCTGTGTTTTGGCATTTAGACCTGGCTGTGCTGAGTCAGCAATACAGTAACCATGAACCTCTCTGTATGATCAGTGAGGGAACCTGTGTGTGTGTGTGTGTGTGTGTGTGATCTAACAAGTAACATGTAATGTAATGTGTGTGTGTGTGTGTGTGATCAGTAATATTTGGCTAATAAAGGAAACATTAACAGACTAAAGAACGTGTAAACAAAATGTAAACATCTGAATGCTAGTGGCGCCAGAGTGGGAACTCAAGTTGGATTTTATTTACGTCTTTCCACACACACACACACACACACACACACACACACACACACACACACACACACACACACACACACACACACACACACACACACACACACACACACACACACACACACACACACACACACACACACACACACACACACACACACACACACACACACACACACACACACACACAGTTTACTACAAATCACACACACAGTTTACTACAAATCACACACATCCAGACACTAATATGGAACATGTTGGCACACATTACAGACATGCACAGACAGTCACACACACAAGCAATGTATGGCCTCACACACATGGTCAGGGGTCACAGCTACAGCAAGGCATTGTGGACAGGGGGAAGCGCACATGTTTATTTATGTTTACAGTTTGTATACAGTGTGTGTGTATTTACAGTGAGGGTACAGGAGAAAAACCTTGTGCAAGTGCATGCAGGTCCATCATTTGTGCCTTAGTGTGTGTGTGTGTGTGTGTGTCTCTCAAAGTGCTCGGGGGATGATGGTGAAGGGCAGGATGGGGCTGCTGGCCTCCAGCTCCAGCGCGGTCAGGAAACACTCGGTGGCCGCAGCGGCGTTCCCCTGAGCCTGCAGCACCTCCCCCAGACTGTTCCACACATCATGAGCCGTACTGAGGGGGGGGAGAGAATGTGAGAGAATGAAACAAAAGAGGAGAAGAGAAAGCAGGAGTATGGGAGAGAAGGGGAGGAGAGGAAATAAGAGGAGGAAACAGGAGTAGTGATGTTATAGGAGATGAGAGGAGAGTTGAATAATCGGAGGGAAGGGGAGAGATCAAGGGAATTAGAGGAGGAGGAAAGGAGGAGAGGAGAGAGAATGAAAGAGGATAAATGGAGGTTGGGAGGAAGTATGAGAAGAGGGGGATAAGGAGGAGAGTAAGAGCGAGGTGACATGAGAGAAAAGGAGACAGGGAGAGGATAGGAGGAAAATAGAGAAAGAATGAAAAGGGAAACCGGTGTAAACAAAGGAGCGAAGGAAAGAGGAGAGGAGGAAATGGAAGGAAGTGAGAAGGGACGACATAAGAGGAGAGGAAAGAGCAGATATAGGTAATAAGAGAGAGGAAAAGAGATACGGAGAGACATACATGTAAACAGGGTGAGGACAGGGGAGAGGAACAAAGGAGATGAGAGGAAGGAAGATGAGAGGGGAGTAAAAGAAGATCAGAAGGAGGGTAGGAGAGGAGAAGGAGAGATAAAAGGAAGCAGGGAAAAGGAAAAGAGGAAAGATGGGAGGAAATAAGAGAAAACAATATTACAACATTTGAGGTGAGGGGAATAAAGGGGAGAGGAAAAAGGAGGTGATATGAGAAAAGGGAAGCAGAGGAGAAAAAGAGGAAACAAGAGAAGGAAATAGAAGAGAGGAAAGGGGAATATAAATGTGAATGACATTAAATATAATGATCACGTAAATTCCAATCACACACACACACACACACACACACACACACACACACACACACACACACACACACACACACACACACACACACCACACACACACACACACACACACACACACACACACACACACACACACACACACACACACACACACACACACACACACACACACACACACACACACACACACACACACACACACACACACACACACACACACACACACACACACACACACACACACACACACACACACACACACACACACACACACCTGTTGACCTGCACAGCGTCCCGCAGCACTTTCTCTGACAGACTGTAGCGCTGCAGCTGGTGGAGGATCAGACCCTGAGCAGAGGATGAGGAAGAGGAAGAGGAAGCAGGAGAGTGAAATAACGACTTATATCAGTTTATCAAGTTGGTGTACACACACATCCTGAAAATTACTCACTTTGATTTTTCTTTTTTATTCTTTTACTTTTTGTTGTGTATTTAAAAAAACATCCACATTTATATAAGGTCTGGGCGATATGAAGTTTCACATTTGACAAGATTCTTAACCAAATACAGCAATATCGATTTTGGAACGAGTGTGTGAGTGTGGTTGAGTGTGTGAGTGTGTGTGTGAGTGTGTGTGTGTGAGTGTGAGTGTGTGTGTGGTTGAGTGTGTGCGTGTGGTTGAGTGTGTGCGTGTGTGTGTGAGTGTGTGTGTGGTTGAGTGTGTGCGTGTGTGGTTGAGTGAGTGAGTGAGTGAGTAGAAGTGGTGATGAGTGAGTGAGTGAGTGAGGGTTTGCAGTGAGTTGAGGTTGATGAGTGAGTGGTTGAGGGTTGAGTGCAGTGAGTGAGTGAGTGAGTGAGTGAGTGTGTGAGTGAGTGAGTGTGTGTGGGTGAGTGAGTGAGTGAGTGAGTGAGTGAGTGAGTGAGTGAGTGAGTGTGTGGTTGAGTGAGTGAGTGAGTGAGTGTGAGAGTGTGTGTGTGAGTGTGTGTGTGTGGTTAGAGTGGTGTGGTGTGGTGTGGCGTGACGTGCGTGCGTGGACTTGCGTGAGTGCGTGTGTGTTGGTTCGTGTGTGTGTTGGTTGCGTGTGTGTGTGTGTGTGTGTGTGTGTGTGTGTGTGTGTGGTTGCGTGTGTGTGTGTGTGGTTGCGTGTGTGTGTGTGGTTGCGTGTGTGTGTGTGGTTGCGTGTGTGTGTGTGTGTGTGTGGTTGCGTGTGTGTGTGTGTGTGAGGTTGCGTGTGTGTGTGTGTGTGTGCGGTTTGAGTGTGTGGGTTGCGTGTGTGCGGTTGAGTGTGTGAGGTTGTGTGTGTGAGGTTGAGTGTGTGAGGTTGAGTGTGTGAGGTTGAGTGTGCGAGGTTGAGTGTGCGTGGTTGAGTGTGCGTGGTTGAGTGTGTGTGGTTGAGTGTGTGTGTGTGTGTGTGTGTGGTTGAGTGTGTGTGGTTGAGTGTGTGAGGTTGAGTGTGTGAGGTTGAGTGTGTGAGGTTGAGTGTGTGAGGTTGAGTGTGTGTGTGTGGTTGAGTGTGTGTGTGTGGTTGAGTGTGTGTGTGGTTGAGTGTGTGTGTGTGTGTGAGTGTGTGTGTGTGGTTGAGTGTGTGTGTGTGGTTGAGTGTGTGTGTGTGGTTGAGTGTGTGTGTGTGTGTGTGGGTGTGTGTGTGTGCGTGCGTGCGTGCGTGTGTGGTGTGTGTGGTTGTGTGTGTGTTGTGTGTGTTTGTGTGTGTGTGTGTGTGTGTGTGTGTGTGTGTGTGGTTGAGTGTGTGTGTGTGGTTGAGTGTGTGTGTGTGTGTGTGTGTGTGGTTGAGTGTGTGTGTGTGTGTGAGGTTGAGTGTGTGTGTGTGTGTGAGGTTGAGTGTGTGAGGTTGAGTGTGTGAGGTTGAGTGTGTGTGTTGAGTGTGTGTGTGTGGTTGAGTGTGTGTGTGTGTGGTTGAGTGTGTGTGTGGGTTGGTGTGTGTGTGTGGTTGAGTGTGTGTGTGTGTGTGTGGTTGAGTGTGTGTGTGTGGTTGAGTGTGTGTGTGTGTGGTTGAGTGTGTGTGTGTGGTTGTGTGTGTGTGTGTGTGTGTGTGTGTGGTTGAGTGTGTGTGTGTGGTTGAGTGTGTGTGTGGTTGAGTGTGTGTGTGGTTGAGTGTGTGTGTGGTTGAGTGTGTGTGTGGTTGAGTGTGTGTGTGTGTGTGTGTGTGTGTGTGTGTGTGTGTGTGTGTGTGTGTGTGTGTGTGTGTGTGTGTGTGTGTGTGTGTGTGAGTTACCAGTCTCTGCATGGTCTTGACGTGTGTTGGGTTGATGGACAGCGACTCTTCGTACCAGCGTTTGGCCTCCTCGATGTTCCCCCGGAGCTCTGCGATCTGCCCCCTCATGTACAGTACATTATGGGATGTGGGGAAGAGGTTGGAGGCTTCCTGTGTGCAGGCCGAGGCTTCAGCCGGCTTCGACATGCCGGTGTACACCTCCGCTGTAAGAGAGAGGGGGGGGGGGGGTCCAAACATCAGAGAACATTTCCTGTTTCTAAAGCGTGAGATTTGCAGCCTTCTTAACATCAGTGTATTTGAGTAAAATCCACTAATAGCACAATACTGTTCCACACATCATGAGGAGAAGAAACAGGAGGAGGAGAGAAGGAAAGACGAGAGGAGAGGGGTATTATTGGAGGATTGATCAAGAGAGGAAAGGAGAGAAAATGAAAGAGGAGAAGGGAGGGAATAAAAGAAGAGGAAACAGGAGATGAGCTGGAAATGAAGGGGAGGAGGATAGAGGAAACGTTAAAAAAAGAATGAAAGAGGAGAGGGGGTATTAGGAGAGAAGGAAAGAGGAGATGAGCTATTAGGAGAGATGAGAGGACAGGTCGATAATCGGAGGGGGAAGGAGAGATTAGGAGAGGAAGGAGACGAGAAGGGAAGGAAATAAGAGAAGAGGAAACGAGGTATGAGAGACGGGAGGAGACGCGGATAAAAAGAAGAGGAACAGGGTAAAGAGAACTAAAAAAGGAAGCAGGGCGAGGATAGGGGAAAGGAATGTAAAGAGTAGGCAGGAAAGAAATAGGATGGAAGGAAAATAGATAAGAAGAAATGCATAATAAAAAAGATGGAGAAGAGGAAAAGGGAGGTGATGAAAGCAACAGAAAAGAAAGCAGGTGGAGGATAAAGGAAAATAGGAAGCAGGAAAACATCAAGAGATGAGAGGAGGAAGTGGGGAGAAAAGGAGAGAGATTGAAAAACGGGGGGTGGGTAGTCTGAGAGACCAGCAGGAAGGAGAGGAATAAAGAAGAGGAGAGGAGGAAACATCTCTGAGGAACTCTTTCAAACCTGAGAGCTGTAGAATTACTGAACAAATAGATCCCAGTCGATATAACCACCGTCTCGTCAAAGCAAGACTGCAATTCCCATAAATGCTGATATTGTGCGGCACAACGTGAAAGTGCTCCATCTCAAGTTACATTTTGAAACCTCTCAAACTGAAATGATGCATTTAAAAATAAAAGCCACAAACAGACAGCTTAGTGTAATAATTGTGATGACACATTCGCAAAAGAACGAAGCTACATTTTTCATAATGTTTCAGCATCAAGGTGGCCTAATGCACCGTGCGCAGAGCCACAGACCAAACAGAGGAGGGGACGGAGGACCGTCTGCTCGTCTGGCCTGTGATTGGATGATTGTATTAGCGGTGTCGCCAGGCTGGAAATGACCACCTCTGACAGGAAGCGGCTGGAGAGATAAACAGAGTGTGTGTGTGTGTGTGTGTGTGTGTGTGTGTGTGTGTGTGTGTGTGTGTGTGTGTGTGTGTGTGTGTGTGTTTGTTTATTATACTCTTCAGACTGCTTATGTTTGTGTCTGCTGGGGAGGCAGACATGAGAATGGAGTGTACCCTAAAAGTTATTTAATCTGCCTACGCCCTACGAGCTGATGTCAGTACTAAAAGACAATCATACGGAGAACTAGCAGACAGACTGTTTGTGTAGTTTGGCATTTGGACGGTCCCTTTCAGTATTTTAGAGGACAGAATTGTCCCTACCATTATTTGAGCAAAATAGTTTCTGTATTATCTTTGGTGCTTAAGTCATATTAAATCATTTGCATGTGCCCTTCCGGAGGTTTCGTCTTTATTACTGCCTACATTCTGAAATGGAGAAGGCTATGCTTTGACCTGTCCACCTGTTGCAAATTAAAATCATGGCGAAAAAAAGATACAAACCAGATAACGTTGATGACAAAATGTCGTTATCGCAGATAACATTAAATCTATGGTGGCCAACATGTGCAAACGCGCTACAACAGCCCAATACACTTTCATTAGGTGAAACGCGCCACAGCTTAAAAAACGATGCAAATATAAAAACAAAACATTTGCCAAAACACATGCAAATGAAGAAACATCTTCACCTACTTGACAACGCATGCGCAGCATTTAGAAAACACTCACCAAATGCACTGCATAAACGAAACACTGCAAATACAAAACGCTACAAGAAGCTTAAACACGTGTTGTCAAGTTGGGGAAGATGTGTTTTTATATTTGCATCGTTTTTTAAGCTGGGGGCTGCGTTTCTCCTGATGGAAATGTTTTGGACCGACACAAACATGTACACACTTGCCAAACACTTGAACATCTGTTGCACTTCCATGCGTGTAGCGGCCTGTTGGTTTGCCTACATACCTGCGTGCAACCAGATCTGAGCCAGGGTCATCCAGGGGTGCATGGGTCCGTGTTTGGGGGCACTGCTCTGCAGGGAGGAGGCCACCTCGGACAGAGCCTGCTCTACGCGACTGGCTGCTATAGACGTAGCATGAACTGAGCCTGGAGGGAGGAAATCCAAACATTATACACCATCATCTCCTGCAGGTACTTACTAACTACTGCAGCACACAGCAGCTTTTAATTCTACCAAACAATATCAGATTTCCCAGAAACAGGAAGTGAAATCTGGAGTGTTTGGGTAAAGCTCACAACTCTCGCAGCTTCCTGTTCCTGCTCTAAAGCCTTTAATCAGTCCACACCATTCCACACGCTGCAACACACAGTGTTATGGCCCCTGGATTAACCAGGTTTAAATGGATTAATTTCTGCACAACCATGCATAAACACTGCATCAACCTGCACTCAGCTGATTAGTAAGTGCGTCTCAGATTTTGTCTCTGCAATTGGATTACATTATAACAGGGAGGCAAAATGGCCACCACACGGGACTGCAGGAGCACACTGCAGATCTGTGAAAGCAAAACATAATACGTCTTCTGGTGTAATATTTGATCATATCCTGCTTTTACACAAAACAAATGTAGTTAAAATGACCATTTATGGGTTTTCTGATTCGTACATTAACCAAAATAATGTAAAAATGTCTTAAAAAGGTATATTTTTATCCATGACTTTGATCAATTTGACTGAAAATGTATGAATAAATCCACTTTGATCTGACCTTTTATGAAACGTTTCTTCATTTGCATGTGTTTTGGCACAATTGTGTGCTTTTTTATTTGCAGCGTTGTTGAAACTTCAGGGCATTTCTCCTAATGGAAATGTTTTGGGCAGTTGTTGCTTTTTTGCACTTGTTGGCCACCGTAGAATAGGATAAAAACGTCTAAACACGTATATTTTTAATACATTGCATTGATAAATATTAACTGAACATTGATGACTAAATCCACTAAGATCCGTTCTCTGTGTGCAAATTAGATTTCGTTACATTTTGAGAACTATACAACCTTTATAATTTGAACATTTTAAATCGTTTTGTTCCTTTCAATAAATGCTGTAAAATACAGACACTGATTATGCTTTACATTTGTAAAAATGCTAGTGCTAGTCTAATGTGGTAGACAACCTTTTTGGTTTTTAAGTCACGTCATTTGCAGCCTGCAGTGATTATATAACTATATAAATATGTGCCTTTTATATCCTGAACATGGACTAAAATAAAAATGGCGAATGGTCGAAGCTCGCCAAAATAAAAGCTGTACTTTAATAAAACATCTCCCATCCCCTTCTCCTATTATTCTGTTCTCTATGGTCCAAAATACTCTTTCAACTACAATGACATGAGCTGTGTGTTGGGGTGTTAAGGGACAGGAAGTAACCATGTGTAAAAGACAAGTGGGACGAGGATAAAAAGAGAAGATTTGAATATTAAAGCTGTGTGTGTGTTTGTGTGTTAGAGAGAGAGCAAAGAACGGAAGAGTGTTATTTTTGTGCTTTAAAAGTGTCTTTAAAAAATGGATGTCCATCTCTCTCACACATACACACAACAGCATTTAAAGGTCACCTATTATGCAAAATGCACTTTTTGATATCTTTTATACGTACATGTGTCCCTGGTGTGTAAGGAGACTCACAAAGTGTCAGAAAATACAACCCTCTCTCTTTTCCCCCTTACCCACATCTTTAAATATGTGGGTGAGAACTTGACATCATTACTGAAATGTGGGCTGGCTTTACATTTAACTCCTGGCAACGTCCCGCCCAACCTATCGTTCCCATATACAGTCGGCTAGCTGAATCCCCTCCTGCAGCTGTGTGTCTGTGTATTAAGCAGGATGTCTGCAGGAGGCACTTAAAGTAAAGTTGTTATATATATAATACATATAATGGCACTGTTCTAGCGGTAAACACTGAAAAAAGAACATGTCAAGCTATGTGCTGTATCAGAAAATATGCACAATGTGTTTTAGAAGTAATATAGTTTGTGTTTACATTAGCAAGCATTGCTAACACTCAGAGCTAACGCTGTACTGGAGAGAATATGTGTAAAGAAGCCGGATATAAAAAGTACTGTCCTTATGGTCAACCGGCGAGAGAGAAAACGTTTGAGCTCCATACTGTTTCAGAAATAATGCTTGATGTGGTTTGGAACATAATATGGCGTTTAATAACGGCAGTGTTTAGCTGAGTTTCTGCTGGTAGAGAGTCTACTCTTCACAGAGCTCACTGCTTGCATGTGGAGCTCCAAAGGGGCGTGGCCAGCATTTAACATGTTACATTTCTATATATAGAAGGTAGGTTGAATAATACAGAAGATACCCAATTTTAAGTGTTTTATCAATCTCTCCATTTATCGATATCCAACATGTTGTTTCCCTCACATCCACCCTTTTACTTTTCTGCACTGTTGTTATGCACCATAAGGCTTTTAGTGATACGCTTATAGACAGACGGTAGGACATATGGCCTTGTCAGTGAAAGAACAAAGTGCTATTGCATCAGCGGTTAGTTGGAGTTGTATAAAGAGGAACAGAAGTAGTGATGCTGTATATTTTCTTATGAATTGCTTTCACTCTGACCATTTTGTGCCCCTTATATTCAAGTCAATCTATGAACTGGATGTTATGTAATACTGACAAAACCATGAGACTTTCTTTAGAATATATAGAAGTTTTCACTTGGTGCCATTAGAGATTTGCTAGCAGACTACGTAGGAAGCCTCCTGCCGTGCCTTGTGCCTAACATGTGGGCATTTCACACAGCAACACATGCACCAAAGCTGCTCACTGAATCAAAGGAATACACTGACTGACAGGAACAAATGTACAGATGTAAAAATAAAAAAAACGTTTCTCTGAAAATGATCAATTGGCTATCGTTTGATTTAAAAACCTTTCCAATAGAGTTTGTTAGAAATGCACTAATTATATGACTTTGTTAAAACGACAAAATTCAGATCATTCATATCAGATCATAGTTTTTCATTATAATCACTGTTCACTTGTTTTCACATATGTGTCAAAAAGTAAGGTAAAGTGATTCCAGTATGTTTAGCGCCATTTTGTTTTTACTAGTGAGAATGGGTTAAAATACTCTTTGTTGAAAATGTTAACATGTCATAGAATTCTAATTTATTGTGTTTTTCACAATTTGATGAATGTCAGGATAAGATCGTGTATGTCTACCACTATGACCAAGATATTGTGACATCAAATGTTCATATTGACTATGGCTCTGTCGGCATTTGCTCTTTTTTTGCTAGCTGACATTTTAAGGTTTTTTTTCATGTTATATTCCTTTAAGTCGTTGTATTCCTTTAAAGTCAAATACCATCAACTTGATATAAATTCAGTACAATTCTCCTGAAAACTGGCTGCGGACATCACGTTAAAGCAGAGGATATATGTACATTTTTCCTTCCTAAAGATAATGTACATGTATCGGAACCTCGTCGGGAAAAAGAAGGTCAACTGGGACCGGAGGATGGACGGAACAATGGATGGAAAAAAGAAGGTCAGATGGAGGTTACATGGCTACTTACAAACAGAAAACATGGAGGAAAAACCAAGAGTGTTAGCGTCCTGAAAGCCGCCTTGAAACAATGGAGGGATGGGAAGAAAACAGAAATACGATTGTTAATGATTGAAAAAAAGGAAGAGACAGAGAGGAAATATCCAAATAATTACGATATCAAAAAGACGATAGTAGTGCAGGTCGAAGAGGTTTTTATTCTTTACTTTTAGATAAAATGCTGCCTCCACTTGATCTATAATATGCTGTAATCTTTTCAAATAAATGCTTAATTATGAGCACATATGTACATATACAGCCATAAATGTTGAATAGGATATATTATGCTCATTTTCAGGTTAATATTTGTATGTAGTGTCTCTACTGGGACATGTCTCCATGCTTTAATGTTCAAAAAGATCTTTATTTTTCTCATACTGTCTGTGCTGCAGCACCTCTTTTCACCCTCTGTCTGAAACCAGAGCCCAGTCTGCTCTGATTGGATAGCTGGTCGGCTCTGTTGTGATTGGTCAACCGCTTAGAGATCACCCACAATGACATTGTATCACGTCCAATGTGTTGGAGCGCTAGCCAATAGAAGCGCGAGAGTTACATAGTGATGTAGTGTCGAAAGAGGATTATTTTGCTAGAATTTTCTTAGGTTCATGATATCTCAAAATGCCTTTCCGCACAGCTGGATTTAAATGATGGATGGAAAGCTTTTTATATGACTAACAATGCACTTTTAAAGTGGTGTACTAATACAATAACAAAATAATTTGGTCCGATTTTCCGTCATTTCGATTATTGTGATTTTAAATAATGTAATTATCGTCTTGCTGACTGAAAAAAAAATCAAGCTCTGGAGCCAATTACAACCATTATTTTCAGTTCAAACATCATTAGTATAAGAGATGGCAACATAGAGAGACAACATAAGGTTGGAAACAAGACAAATTGATGTTGGCTCAAATGTAATATCCTCACAGAAAGAGAAAGGAGGAGGATGCAGAACATGAACACAAACAAGAGACACATATCCAGGGGAGAAGTAGATAGATGTGAAGAGACAGTGCTGTATGTAAAACTATTTTGTATATCCACAATGAAAAGAGAACTCAACGGATTTCAGTATCCTTGTAGTGTTAATTTAAAGCAACAATCTTTGTTTTCTATGTGGAACGTAGTGGTGTGGAGATAAACTAAAGTGCGTAAGTTCACCTGAGACCTAAGTAGTAAGTAGAGTAAGCCGAAAAGACACAAAACTACTGCAGCATCAAAGCTCAAGCTTTTGTTTTCCATGTTAACATGCGGAGATTCACAGCATGACTGAGAACTACCTGTGAAGCTGAAGCACATCCAGTATTAACGGTTAGTCAGTTTAGTTATAGACTTGTCCTCCATGAAGAGTCAAATTCAAGATTCACCTTGTTAATCACCTCAATAGGCCGGATACATTCTTTAATCATTTAGTTGAAAGTCATGGATGTCGGGCAGATTACGGTGTGGGTCATTGCAATTAGTTTTCTAATATCCGGAAATACTCTGCGAGGTAGCTATCATTTCATAATAAACGTATATATGAAAACATATATATATTCTCACTGTTGAATAGCAACAAAGAATGTAAGCTATTATATGATAAGATACACTTTTACAAAGATGCTACTTTCCTCTTAGTGTAGTGAGGAATTTAATAATATAAAATAATATTTTTTTAATAAAAACATCTTAAATACGGAGGAGCACTGAGCGAGAGAATTAGGGATGAAATTAACTGATTTAAGATTAGTCAGAAAATGATCATCATAATATTTGTTTTGCCTCTCAGGGCTTCCATACATCAGCAACATCAGCAACATCAGTAAGATCATTAAGATCATTCCACAGTTGCTCAATTTTGACAATGTCCAGGGGCCTCATTTATAAAGGGATATACGCTCAAAAAATGGCGTACGCCAGTTTCTACGCAATGTTTGCGATTTATAAAATACTAACTTGACGGGAAAATGTGCGGTCCTCCACCCAAACTCTAACCCATGCGTACGCACTAAGCACAACAACGGGAGAGACGAGAAACTGCGACACCGTTGGCAGAAGGAAGAATGGAGAGAAATATGTGGAAATAAATAAAATGTTACCTCATTTATCAAATGTGAAGAATTCATTTTCAAACATTGATTAAAGCCAATCTTAAAATGATTAAACAAACGCCTGTTTGAGACTCCTCAGTGCACACAAAAACATAACTTGGAGAAATAAATAAAGACGGAAATGTTATTTAAAACCACCTCGAATATGTTGTGTTAATGTTATGAAATGTTTTCTCATAAATGATGCGGTAAGCAGGAGGACAGAATTACGTCTAAACTGACGCCGTTTTGCATTTCTATAGGTTGTAGATACGAGCATGGTTTTATATACTATCACGTTTAATCGTGTTTTATGCCGTTTGCTAAGACTTGATAAGTCGCTCGTAAAACACAGGAGGTATGGAAACTAAGAACACCATATGTGGTAAATTGTACAGCTAATATAACACAACACATTAGTTGTATTTCCTTTAACTGGTGGATTATGGATATATAGTTGCTGATCGAAAGCTGGAACACAAACCACCAAATACAACAAAATAATTCAGATCCAGTCGTCATGACTCCACTCCGGAGGGATTCCCCGATCATTTCTTACAGTTTCTCATCAAGGGGGTGTCTCCTGTCCCCGGTACAAACACACTGCCTGAGGAAGGTTATGTGTATTTGTTTTGTCATTAACTTTTTTCGGACCACTTATTTATTTATTTTGGTGACGATCCGACCTCCATGCTGCTACTCTGGTTCAAACTGCATCCACCAAACAATATGATTTATCTCGACCTCCCCACAATAACCAAAATCTGACACGGTGTGAGATGTCTTTTTTAGCTGTTCTGTCGTCATTTCCTGCGATCTTCTTCATGCAGTCAGTCAGAATGAATGGGCATTTCTTTGACTATTCATAGGCAAATATGGGCGTTACGTGAAGCCCGCAAAAGCTGCGCCGCATTTCGAGTCGATTGTGAAGGGAAACAGGCGTAGGAAGTACTTCCCTCGCCGGTACGCAATGTTTTGTGAATCGGAAAATGTCGGAACATTTCTGTACCTATTTTTTTGCTTTGTACTACGTAAGCAACCTTCTCACGTCAATCCTACGCAAGGCGTTATAAATGAGGCCCCTGAGCCGCAAATCCTCTACGTATATCAACATACTGTGGAGAACCAGCGTAGAGGAGAACCAGCGTGAAAACAAGGGGAACACACAAGTTCATTAAAAAGCCGATCACCCAAAAGGTTTTCTTTTAGGTCACTCTCCACACCATGCTACAGGCAGAGTGGACGCAGAGGGGGATTACAATTGGAGAGCTGACGGAGATTGATGTGGTTGCAAAAGGAGTGAGTCCTGTTCTTGGTGGGCGCAGGAGGAAGAGGAGGAGGAAGATGGGGAGGAGGAAGATGGGGAGGAGGAGGATGAGGAGGTAAAGGGCCAGCAGGAGGGAGGAAGGATACGTTTCTGTGTGGAGGGAGAGGAGGAGGCTGGAGGATGAGGACAGGGGAAGTGGGGGAGGACAGAGGGGAGGAGAGTGTGGAAATGGTGGAAGTGGAAGTGGGGGAGACGGGTTCACAACTACAGTGGGATGAAGAAGAATCTGAGACTACAAAAAAGAAAGGAAATAAAAACAGAGTTCAATTAATAATAACTGGTGTCATAGATAAAGCAGGAGTTATCAAAAATAAACTGAAAAATAATGTTACTGAAGAGGCAATCAATTAAACTAAGAGCAGGAAATGTTTTCCTTTGATATAATAAGTAAAATAAGAAAAAGGTGATACATATAATAACATGAAGGACCTCTTTAATTCCATTGTTATGATTATATCATCAAATAAAACTACAAAAAAGGTGAAGGAACTGTGCACAACTGGAATGTTTTCACTGGGGAAGTCTTGAGGTCACCTGTGAGTGTGTGTATGTGTGTGTGTTTATTAAGTGTGTGTGTGTGTGTGTACCTGTGTCTGGGTCGCTGAAGTCAGGCAGGGTCATGGCGTTGAGCTGCCGTCTGTCTGCTATGGCTCTGTCCAGAAGACTGCTGCCACGGCCCGAATCACTGCATCAGGAACATGAGGTTACACACACGTGTACACACACCTGGGTTGATAAGCAATTGAGTTCTTTGCAAGTTCAACTATAGGTAGGGCTATAGCTCGGCTATAGATTAGATAATGTCCTACATTTTGGATATTGTTAATCTCATAAGTGACTTTTCCTTGTTTTCAAAATCTGCATTACAATAAAGTGATGTCATCTGAGCTGTGTTTCTTAACTCGCCTTACTGTTCTGGTTGTTGCCATTAGTTGCTCTTACCCAAATATCCATTATATGCACATACCTAATAATGTTTTGTCAAAAATCCTTGTTTAAATATTTTGTGATAGTCAACCCTAAAATATCATTGTAAAATCGATTTGGAGGTATTAGATCAGAAATATTGGGATATTTGATTTTCTCGATATCCCCCAGCCTTAGGTAGGGCATCTTAAATATATAAATATTTTTTAACAGTGCATACAATAATAAGCAATACAAATATTTATTTATTTACAAGGATTTGAGGGTAACAGTCATACTATCATAAATGCTATGGTATATTACGCTACATTTTATTTAGCTAATGCTATTTTTTATTATTATAATTATATTAATATTTAGCTATCCTTAATCCCAACCAATGTAAGAGCCACATACAGAACAGAGACACATTCTGAAATGAAAGGTAAATTAAATGTTTTTTTTAAGCATAGGACAAATTATTTTTGCTAATAATATGCTACTGTTGTTTGATTTCAACGACATATTTGACATAATAAATCATCTTTTACAACATTGTGAAAACATCATTTTGCAACCATTTGCCTCCAGAGGGGTCATGGAGCCCTTATTGATGACTCACCGCTATATAGAATTAGTTTGGTTAAATTACTTGTAAATCATATTTGAATTCTTAACTGCATTAATACTGCTAACCCTAAAGACGCATATCTTCATGTCGATATATAAACATAAATACAAATCTACATTCACAAAGAATCTGCAGAGCTTTATAAATTACAAATTCAGTCTTCACTCTCGAAGACATCCTTTACATTTTTTTGGAGCAAACTCAATATGGTTAATAGCTACTGAATGAATGAAAGCAAAACAAATGTCAGGACTGGAATTTGCATTGAGGGTGTGTGTGTGTGTGTGTGTGTGTGTGTGTGTATGTGTATACCTGGGGTTAGTGAGGTTGTAAAAGCTCTTCCAGATCTGCAGCATGTGTTTGCAGGTGAGCAGAGCTTCCTCCGGTCCTCTACACATGGACTCCAGCTTCACCTTGGTGTACAGCAGACTACAACACACACACACAATCAGAGAGCAGCCACAGAAAAAGACACTTTAATGTGTTGCGGTAAGTGTGTGAGTCTCACTTGAAGTTCTCGGGGTACTCGGACAGAGCCATCTCTATGATATTGAGCGCGTCGTGGTAGTGTTTCTGAGCGGAGAGCAGCAGGGCGAGCAGGTGGAGGGAGTGGACGTCATCGCCCTGGAGCTGCAGCGCCTGTCGGACGTAGCCTAGAGCCTCTGGGATCTACACACACACACATATACAGACTACAGGTTGGAACTACAGTTGGGGTAGAAAAACACTTTGTAAATTGACAGGAATGTCATTTTCTGACTTCCGTTGTCACCACATAAGAGGGTGTTACCTGTCTGGAGACGGCGAGCTGCAGCGCCAGGTAGAAGGCTGCGAGATGGTCAGTGGGAGACAGACTCTGAGCTCTAGAGAAAGAGAGAGGTGCTGTGTGTTCATACGTGCTGAATTAATAAGTGAAATAAGAAGATATGAAACTTAAAAATATCTCCGGGGGGAAATTGGGTTGCTGCAGTAGCAGAACAGTATAAAAAGTAGCAAACATTGCATAACAATAGATTGGTTTAGAAAACCAAACCGAGGGATATCTTAAAATGTAAGACTCCGTTAGAAACTCTCACGCCATTAAATCAGCAGAATCACCCACTATAAAACCATAGATGTTGTATTGCAGCATTATAAAAATGTGATAAAAAAAAGCACATTCTGCTTAGTACTCAGATCCTTTACTGAAGTAAAAGTAGAAACAATATGGTCTTAAAATACCACATTACAAGTAAAAGACCCGAAGTTCTTTTTTACATGAGCAGAATAATATACGTTTTATCAGCAAAATGTACTTCAAATATCAAAAGTAAATGTACTCAGTATGCAGAATTGCTCTTTTCACAATATTATAAAATACTAATATATATTTTTTTATCAGCAACAAATGTCATTTTGATATAGTGCTTTGTCATGTTGAACCAATTGCAATTTTAAAAACGCAAATGTGCCAGCGCACGTGTTGTCAAACTGGTAAAGATGTTTCTATATTTGCAATGTGTGTCGGCACCTTTTTGGTTTTATATTTACATCGCTTCTGAGCTGCAGCGCATTTCTCCTATCTGAGATATTTTGGGTTTTTGTAGGGCGTTTTCACCAGTTGGCCACCATAGGATGCAGAATCAAATGCATAACCCTAAAACTGTATCAAATTCTACTTTAGAGCAAAACTTGCATAAATGTACTTTGATACATTTCACCACTTGAGTCTATATATTATTTATTTGTTTACCTTATTATTAGATATTATTATAGCTACAAATCACTTTTCAGTAGGATGTGTCACATATGTTAATAGCCTCTGTGTTTGAGCTATGGGTGTGTTTCCTTCCACTTGAGGACATGTTTATGGAAGGACAGTATACACATCTAGTGTGCACACAGATGACAGACATAGGGTTTAAATAACAAACAGGTTGCGTTCTTTTCGGCTGAGCAGCAGTTAGTGCTGCGACAGCGTCCTTCTGAGGGAGGTGTGGGAGTGAAAGAGAAAAGAGAGCGCAGCGTGGCTCAGGCCCAACCTCTGGAAGGCTCCCAAAGCTTTCCTCTGGTACTCCTCCTGCGTGCTCCGCAACGAGGCTGAGGGGGGGCAGAGACACAGAGTCAGGGAGAGGAAGAGGAGGCAGGATGCAGGCAGGAAGATGTATACAGTAATACAAGTGCGACAGTCTTATGACCATTTATATTGTAGCATTGGATGTCTTGATGTGTATATGTGGAAGCATTCTATAGAGAACAAGAAACAAAAATGGAGACAGGCTCTATCGTGTGTTTTTTTAAATCATTTTTACATGAGATATGAGACTTCCTTAAGGGTTGTAGCAAAAAAAAGACTAAATCACCTAATCTAATAATCCCTATTTTGAATAAAATGATTATTTTAGGGGGCGGACATCATAAAATATGACAACAGAAAATCCTAGCGAGGTTTACCTCAACAAAAGATTTCAATGCAAGACAACCTTGCTTGCTTTACTTGTTATCATTCACAATGACACTATCTTTAAGTAAGGTGTCATAAACCCACAGAGACGTACCGTCAGTGGCTTTCAGGCTGTACACCAGCCCGATGGCCAGGTAGCCTTTGGCTCTGAACTCTGCTGCTTTCTCCCCCATGTCAATCACAATGTTGGCAAAGCACTCCCCGTCATCCAGCTGCATTATGGGAGAAGATAGATATATAAGGAGAGAAGGAACGGAGAAAGATTTTATTATTATAAAGGTGTTTAGAGTAAGCTAACATATTAGCTAAACGTGGTATATTATACAATGACAACAAACATTGTGAGTAAAACATAAACAATATTGGCTTGTAATGAAAGACTACACATTTTATGAAGTGAAGATCGAGCTCTGTATTGAAGGAGAGCTCAATATGCCGCAGTTGCTTTACATTGGACACGAAGGGGGCACAATGATTCAACATTGTGGCTGTTTTGACACAATTCTTCACAAAAAATAAAATCTTATTTGAGATTTTTCTGAATAAATCTGAATTATTAAAGTAACTCAAGCTTTAAGATAAATGTATCTGATAAAAGAAACAGTTGTGGCTGGTAATAAAAGAGAATTGATTAAACAATCAAATGTATGGCCCTTTTGACACATTCATTTGTATGTATAAATATCGAGATATTCTATCTGGCCCAAAGAAAACTGAATATATATTAAAACTAAACCTTTCTGAAGAAAATAAGACTAGCAGACACACTCTGTAAACTAACTAAAACTAATCTAAAAATGTAAAAGAAAATTCAAAATGTAAGAAAAATTAGAACTGCTGAAAATAAATATTCAAAACTATAGTATCAGCATGGTAGCTTGAGAAAACTTCACCAAAAATGTGTAGAACATGTGGGTTTAAGTGTGCAGGAGGGTCCTTACCCAGTGTAGGGGTCCGATACACAGCTTGACAGCCAGCAGTGGGATGGTGGGGTCGTCGGGCTTCAGACGGATGCACTCCTTCAGGACTTTAACGGCCCGCGCTGATTTCCCAGCAGCCATTAGCGACAGAGCGAGCTGGTACCACAGGTGGAACTCCTCGAAGGCAAACTTCATGGCTCTCTCCAGACACTGCAGAAACAGGACACATCTCAATTGGATTGTAATAAAACATTATTTGTTTGAGGAATCGACCAAAAGGAGATTTAGGGTGATTTAATGTGGGTGTATTATTATGAGATTGGGCTTTAACACTTTGTCTATCACCACAGAGGGACAGCTCACCTCTGACAGCATCTCGTACTGCCCCCTCCTGCCCAGAGCGATGGTCAGCAGGTCGTACACCACCGAGGCCGACTGCAGGCTGATGATGCGATCATTGTTGTGTTCAGGGATCCTGCTGAGGACGGCGTCCCGGTTAGCCTGAAACACACACACAAATACAGAGATTTAGAAATGGAACATGGTTTAACGAGGTGAGTGGAATATTATTTCCAACTATTTCCAGTCTGAATAGTGTTGGAGAAAGTATTCAGATCTTTAACTTAAAGGTGGGGTAGGTAAGTTTGAGAAACCGGCTCGAGATACACTTTTTGTTATATTCCATGGAATGCTCTTAACATCCCGATAGCAATGAATATCTTAAGTGCTTTGACAAAAAATCCATTAAAAAATATCATCTGTGGAAGCCGTAGTACTGTAAAAAGCACGACCAATCATTTTAGCCGGCCCGGCTAAAATAACTGGATGGCCTACCTGCCTGTCAGCCTTCCATCTGTGCACAAAATTATCTCGTGCCCTCATTGGTCACGTGCGCGTTCGTGTGTGTTGGAGGAGTGGCAGATTTTTTCCGGTTGTGTATTTTCAAATTCTAGCACACTCGAGCTGGTTTCTCCAAAATCACCTACCCCACCTTTAAGTACAAGTACTGATACCACACTGTAAAAATAATGTATTACAAATAGAAAAGTAGTAATATATATATTTTTTACGTATTTAATTTAAGATTACCCAATGCAGAAAACATTTAAATAAAATTGAAAAAAGGACACAAAAAAACTCAAAATTATTGTAATAAAAAAAAAAGACTTAAATGTGTACAGGTGCAAAATATTATTGTTTTAATCTGCTAATTTATTAAATCGTCTTTTTGTCCAGGTGTTCTTGAATAGGGTTGGCTAATTTGATTTATTTATACATTTCGTATTTGTATTTTAAGAAATCAGAATAAATAAAGTAACGAATAACTGAAGCTTTAAGATAAATGTAGTTGAGTTAAGTATTTCCCTTTGAATTGTAGTTGAGTAGAAGTCTAAAGTGGCATTAAAGAAAACTACCCATCAAAGTAGAAGTACCTCAAATTGGCACTTAAAGGTGGGGTAGGTAAGTTTGAGAAACCGGCTCGAGATCGCTAGAATTTGAAAATACACAGCCGGAAAAAATCTGCCACTTCCTTACAGAGCCCCTCCTCCAACACACACGAACGTGCACATGACCAATGAGGGCACGAGATAAGTTTGTGCACAGATGGAAGGCTGACAGGCAGGTAGGCCATCCAGTTATTTTAGCCGGGCCGGCTAAAATGATTGGTCGTGCTTTTTACAGTAATACGGCTTCCACAGATGAACTTTTTTTATGGATTTGTTGTCAAAGCACTTAAGATATTCATTGCTATCGGGATGTTAAGAGCATTCCATGGAATATAACAACAAGTGTATCTCGAGCCGGTTTCTCAAACTTACCTACCCTACCTTTAAGTACAATACTTGAGTAAATGTACTCTGGTGTGTCTTACCATGGACTCACTGATCAGCAGCAGCAGCAGAGCCTCCTCTGTGTTCTCCTGAGGGCAGAACAGACTGAGAGGAAAGAGATAAGACAATTAAGGAAAGAAAAAGATGGACAACTAGTTTAGATTCATTAGGGTTGTTTCCCACAGTTTTCCACACATTATCCCTTACTTCTCTCCCGAGTAGACCCGGGCGCGTCGGCTCAGGCTGTAGTTCTTGCTGATGGTGTGTCCCTGCCGTGTGGGGTCGTCCAATGGCGACACGGTGGGCGGGTCTTCCAGAGGAGACCAGTAACTCTGTTCACACATCCCTCTGAGCAGGATCTCTGCTAGCTGTCTGGCTATAGTCTGAAACACATACATGCACATTAGGAAAAGGCACTCTGGTAGGAACACAGCAGCAGTCTGTTTACTCGGGGATCACACGGGACAGTATACTGTCTACTTCAAAGACAGAAGAATAGGTCCTATTTTTGCCACTATGGATCTCTAAATAAAAACAAGAACAAAAGATGGGGTCTGGTGGCCTGTAAGTGAAGCAGCGATGGATCATGGGAGTTTCTCATGCAGTCAGCTTCTCCTGGTTAGGTTTCCTCCTCTCCAAAACAAATGGACCGACAAAGACAACACTGTTTGGATGCCGCTAACATTAGCTTAGCTTCTCAAATGACCTAAAATCAAGTCCCATTGGTATTACCTTTGATATGGTGTAAATATGGAGTTAAAAACGATCAAGATCAAAAGATCGTATTGTAAATCTGTGGCTTAATCTGTTTAAAAAATACATTTATGTCAGCCAATTGTAAGCTGACGTATGCTCAAACATGACAAACAAACATTAACCGAAACAAACTCAACATAAATTGATTGAAATGAAAGACTTAGATCTAGGTTTGAAATATGTAAGGGACATTTGGATATAAATATACAGCCAAGCGAGATGTAAACCATAGGTCTTTGTACATTGTAATGCTGTAATGTTCATAGTTTACTTTCTAACAGACTTGTCGAAGAAGATTCTCCTTGTATAAAACGAAATGAAAAGCCCCCCCTCACCATGCGCAGGCTCTGGGTGGTTCTGTTCTCCACAGCTCGGAGAATCTCCCGAAAACGGCCCACGCCTCGTGTCAGGTTGCTATGGCAACATAGTGAGGAGAAACAGGAAGAAGTTACACTTATTAGAGTCTGTCGTGCTTGTATGTGTGAAGGGAACATATTTTAAAACAGTCTTATCTTGTTTTTTTACTGTTTTCGTATATCTATCTTTTAAAAATAATTTTCCATTTGTTTTCTTTTTTCATGTTTTCTTTCTTTGCTTTGTAGAAACAGCTTAAAAAACTGTTGACAAAAGTGTGAATATGACTTTGTCTTATTTTCTATCAATGTGTGAATCAGGGTATAACATAACATCTGTCTGAACAAGGACCATGCATAGCAATACATTAGTCTCAAAGACAGAACTGATGCTATATACCATCTGCAGTCCTGGGGCAGGTACACAAATAACAATCAACAAACAGTAAAGTGTCTGTCACACCAACAGTTCAGACAGATCTAAATACAGATGTACATGGTTTTTTTTAAATGTAAGATTGTTTATATTTTTTAAATGTTGATGCTGTGCACATTTTGCATGCCGGCAGCTTCCAATGAAAACAAACTGTGTCATGGTCAGAAATGATGTGATTTTCTTTCTTTGTTGTCGTTTTAACTTAATTGAATTTCAGGTGTATGAATAAGAAACAGCTTCACTAGCCGTTTCTCAAAGTCGAGGACGCTTCCTTGGTAGTACTTCCGAGTCAGGTCCTTCAGAGGCTAGGCAAGAATCCTTCCTAGCATTCGGAGAACGAAGAACAGGCTAGCAGGTGTGCGTCATATGCAAGGCCCCGCCTTATTGAGCGCGATTTGTTTGAAGACTCATAACTGATTTGCGAAGATCGAAGATGGACACGTTTTTGTTGTTGTCTTTTATCTATCCATTTGTTGAGATGGAGGAAGAGATAGAGCGGGAGTATCGTCGGCGTCTGTCTGCTCGGAGGAGGAGGATGTTCTAGTTAAATAAGTCTTCCCACTTGCCTTCCGTACGAGTTTTATTCTCTAATGTAAATCAAGTAAATGAAGCATCCATAATGACTCCATAGTTTGTGAGTTGTCCTGATGGTTTAAATCCCCCTTGGTAGACACCCCTTTCTATTGCCTCTATTTCCTGCTTCCCGCACAATAAGCAAGCAACACTTTACTTCTGTTTCAATTGTGCATATATAGTTTGTGCATGTTTGTAGTCGTTCTAACACTTATCGATGCACAGAAAATGTGTAATCACATTTCAATTGTATTTTTAATAATGTAAACACACACACAAGCAAATTGCAGATTTGAAAAAAAGAACCATTAACAATGAACTAATGTAAACTGAAACTGCCCTCTATTCTTTATGTTGTGCATCATTACTGCATTATTAATGCAACCGTGCCAGTCCGTGGAAATTGGTCCGTGCACAAAGAATTGTGGGTCATTTAAGACCGCCGAGGATACACATGAGCAGCCTTGACATTTTCTGCAACGAAGGACTCAGTCCTCGGTAGAATTCCAAGGATCCAGTACATTGGAACAGTCCTTCAGCGGGATTCGATGTCGTAGCATTCTTGAAATAGAGGCTCTGAAGGATCCTTCCTTGACATTGAGAAGCAGCCACTGTCTTTAATTGAAGTTCCTTCACTTAATACTGAAGTAATAGCAATTGCAAAGACAATGAGCCAGCACTGAGAAGACACTTTTCAGATTCCCTCCAATCTGCTGCTGTGCTGTAAACAACAACACTGTGGGGACCACTTTCTGCTGCACTGCGTTTGTTATTTAACCGTGTTCACACTTTTCTGCCATTATCAACCTGTCAGCTGCTTTTAACACGACACCTACAAAGTGGGTGGGATGTGTTCACAGAGAGTTGGTTTTTGTTTTGGGCAACTCATACCTTTTCAAAACTCATTTAAAACATGTTTTTTTATTTAACAATCTCTGTTCAGTGATTCTCTCAGACGTCTCCTGTATTGATTTGTCCTCCACCCGTTTCCCTGTCTTACCCGTTCTTGAAGTGGATGACGTGTGCCCTCTGCAGGCCCGTCTCCAGGAAGTAGCCCAGTTCCAGGTCCTGGGCGGTCGGGCCAGGCTTCGGGCTGCGGTTCTGAATTCCTGCTGACAACGCCTGCAGAAACACACAGGGGTGACAAATAATAATAATAAGTTAACAGAAAATGCAAGGCAGCTGAAAGTATATTCATTATATGTAAAATACTGCTTCTAACTGTCATTGTATATCAATAAGGAAAACCTATTTTCATAAAAAATATATTTTTCAGTGTACCAGATATATGTTTATTTAAATAACAGATTGTCTTTTTGTATATTAACCTTGGACAGTTTATTCTCAGAGGAAAACACTATAGTCTAGTTGCCAGCAGAGTGAACCCAAAATGTATAGAACGGGCACCAAGCACATAGAAACTGCTGGATGCAAACTTGCATATGTTGGACAATTTGTTAATTAAAACGAAAGGCATTATAGCAGAAATATTTAAAAAATGACCTGGGCGAATTGGAACATTTTAGAGTGGTTTTGGAGGTTATTGAGTCCATTCCTGACATTTTCAGGATCAACAATGGCAAATGGTGTAATCTGTCCAATCCAAATGATCCAGAATCCCCTAAATCTTCCAAATCAACCCAAAATTAATCAAATCAGCGCAAAGAGATTACAAATATTGTCCTTTTCTGGTTAAAACTGCCATTTTTGTTCCTGATAATGTCAGGAATGGACTCCTCATCCTCAACTTCCTCCAAAACCACTCCAAAGTGGTCCAAATCGGCCAAGCCATTTTTAAACTATTGTCCATGACTTTCTTTATGATAATTAACTGAGTATTTTATTACACAGGAAATGAAGTGTCATTAAAAGGTTGAGACTGTTTGATTTCTGCCTCTTGCCCTTTATTGCAGTGAACTGTTTGCCAACCCAGCCTGTGCATCCTTTCTCCAAATCAACAGGAAGGAAGTGAGTTTGCCAGTTGGCTGTCATGGGCGCTAACGCATTTGTCAAACTTGCACGCTGTCAGCAGAATATTCCGTTTCACACACCCACAGGGACGGCAGGGTCCAGGTGCTGACAGGATATAATGAGTGTTTGTATAACGACACTCAGAAAAAACACTGCAATAGAAAACAAGTACGCCACACTCTTAAAGAAGAGGCCTTATTTAAGACATAAGATCACATGACACACCTTCTCAGCCTCCTGCAGGTAGAGCAGCGCGATGTCTCCAGACTTTTCATAGCAGGTGATGATATCCTGCTCCCGGTCTGTTGTGCTCCTATTGGACGCTGGAGACCCAGTGTTCTGATTGGACAGAGCCGGAGAGGCGGCCGGGACCTTCTCCAGGCACAGTCCTAAAAGGAGACATACAGAAATTAAAATGATTTAAGAGTGACAAACGCCATGAGTTAATTCTTCTTTTAATGTTTATCTCAAATGTATTTAACCGCACAAAGCCTCATTAAGATCAAAAAGACAGTATCGCAACAAGTGTGCCTTTTCAATTAAAGAAAACCCCACCTTAGCTTCAGTGTCTTCCGAAATTGCTCATGTTGGGGCTATAAAAGTATATAAAGATTCAGTCTTAATCACATTGTCCTTAAGTGTAATAATCAATGGAAGGTTAAGGGGCTTTTTCTTTGGCTTGTTAAACATCACACATTTTATTTAGTCAATATTCAAATTCAGTTTAATCTTATGAAAGGTATGTGTAAATAATCCAAATCCTGACGAGGGTGATAGTGTGAAGGATTACACGCGCCCGGAATTAATTTGAGTCTTTTAATCTATTAGAATATATATATTTTTGACACTTGGAAGATCATCTTCTCTTATAGATGATCTGTTTTTGTCTCAAAATATAATAAATCATTGAAGTTGTTACATTCATATCTTATCAATCATAAATGACAGGCAGCAGTCACAACTGTCCGAGCAACTCATATCCAGTCACATGGATGAATGACAGCAATACAATGACAAATGAACATGTATTATTCAAGAGGAGCCACAGATGCTGCTGTGTGCATTTGTTCATATGACACTCTACTGCCATCATGTGGAGGAAAGCAGTAGTGCAGAAATAAAGATCAATTATTAGAAAGATTAGGAAGCACAGGACAAAAAAGATTGTGTGTGAGTGTGTGTGTGTGTGTGTGTTTAGACCTTTAGTAGCGTACGCCTCTGCTATCATGGACAGCCTGTACACAGGAGCCCCCCCCAGCTGCATGTCCTCCAGGATCACCCTGCTGTAGTGACCTGTCAATACATCATTATGGAGAAATATGTAAATACACCAGTATTATACACATACAACTAGGGCTGCACGATGCAGAAAAAAAATTATGAAACGCAATTATTTTGACTGAGTTGCAATCGCGATATGATTAACGATATTTAAAAGATTTATCATTTTGCCTCATTTACATTAAAACAAATATATATAAACATCTCTGCACATCCACAATGTGTCATTCAAATGGTATCTAAGAATTATATACAGCCTTTTACAAATATTATGCTTCCTGTGATGTGACAATTCTACAAGCCCTTTAGGCGATAAGAAGAAATGATATAATTATGCAGCCCTACCTTCCAAAAATCTATTTTTGCTCTTACCTTTAGCGCTATTTATCAATGTATATTGTTTTGGTGCGAGCTGCCCAGTATTGGCGATATTGGCCATAGAGGAGTATGCCTTTTCTCCAATATAATGGAACTGAATGGCACTCTAGTGGTGCTCAAAGCGCCAACAAATAAATACATTTGAAAAACTTAACAGCAATGTCTCTTTTCAAATATAAAGACTTTGTTGTGACAGTTTCATTTAGGAACTATTTTCTTTCTACCGAACTACATCCACCAATGAGTTTGCATGAGCACGCTTCTTCTGAGCAGTGATACGGTTGGCGCCTCGAAAAATGGTTCCTGCATGAAAAAGCTCACAACAATGTCTGTGAATTATCATGAGCAACTGGGCATGGATTTGTGGGAAGAGACATTACTCAGAACTGTGTCAAATGCTCATTTGTGCGCTTTGAACACAAGCCGAGCGCCAAGTAGTTATATTATATTTGGAGATAATGCAATTCAGATACCAAGTGACACACACTAAAATAGTCTATTATGATACATAGAACTACAGGGAAGTAAAACACATTTGAGTTATTGATGTGGTCCGTCCCTTTACTGACATTACACTGTGAGCAAACTGTTGATTTATGTAAATAAAGCGAACCATAGGAGCTTGTAGGTTACCTAAAGCGTCTCGGTGTTCTCCCTCCACATAGCACAGCTTGGCCATCAACAGGCTGGCTTCCTGGAGGTAATCGGCCTGAAAGAGAGACAAATAACACCATTTATCTCTTTGTAATGTCGTTGACTTCAATGTGCTTGGTTTCCGTCTGCAGATGTTTTTTCTACTGATGTTAAAACCTTAAATGAATCCTTTTCTGTGGCCCTAAATATGATACAGAAACCAACAATCCATAAGTAAAATGAATAGGGAACAATATGAAAGAAAATAAACAAGTTACATTAATATGTTTTTAGTCATTTGTGGACTATGTCTTCCTCCACAGTTACCTTGAGGTTCCCTCTGTCCAGAGCAGCAGTCAGGTGTTTCCTGACCTCCACCAGTTTAGGTCGCGGGCCCCTGGGACTGGCCCCCTGTTTGATGGGGTTCTCCTTCAGGTACGTCTGAAGCTTGCATTCTCCCAGCAACAACTCCCCTAGGTCATCTACACACACACACACACACACACACACACACACACACACACACACACCACACACACACACACACACACACACACACACACACACACACACACACACACACACACACACACACACACACACACACACACACACACACACACACACACACACACACACACACACACACACACACACACACACACACACACACACACACACACACACACACACACACACACACACACACACACACACACACACACACACACACACACACACACACACACACACACACACACACACACACACACACACACACACACACACACACACACACACACACACACACACACACACACACACACACACACACACACACACACACACACACACACACACACACACACACACACACACACACACACACACACACACACACAGTCAGGATGGATCTTCATTATTGATTTACTGGAATTGTATTCAAGATGTTAGTTCAGTAAGTTGCAATTTAACTATAATGTCTTCTTTTGTCATTCCAACGACATTCACTTAACTATAAATCAGAGAGAAGCAGAACATCTCCTTTATTAAGAGGCTGATAGCAGCATTTTTCTTTCATCATTTTGTAGGAAATGTACTTTATGATTACTTGATTATCCAAAAAGTTGGTGATTATATTTCTGTCAATCACCTTATTGTTTAGAAGACTAACTGTTGTATCTGAGGTTGATATATAGTGCAAAGTTCGAAGGTCAATCTAAGGGTAAATCAAAAAACAATGAATTTAACATTTGAAATCTAAATAAGATCGCTTTCTAATGACAATGTGACCACTTTAGGGTTCAGTATATTCATGTATATCTACAATGTAGGTATTGTAAATACATGTCGATTTGACATAGAGAAACACTGCAGTGCTTACACACATACCGGGCAGATTAACGTACGGCCTTAACAAGCTTCTGAAGCGTGTGACTGTGTTCAGAGGTTCAGAGTGTGAAACCAGCAGTAATCCTGTTGCTGATGCCAGCCAATGACCGGGCTCATACCTCTCAGGAGCATCATTACATTCCACAATGGCAGCATTTGTTCATAGAAACACTCTGCAACATTCACATGTCCACAGTTGTAAATTTGTCGGTAATGTTGGTTTTGGTAACATGTCTAACAAATAATGAGTAGTCTATAATATAATCACATATGTGAGAATAACATTTTGAAACGTTTTTCTCTTAAATATAAAGATGGGAAAATATGTTTTTTCAAGGTTGCAAAGCTTTATACAATTATTTGAATGCAATCTTTTTGTCATCAGGGGATTTTTTGTCTTACAGTTTAAAGATCTAACAACATTTCTGTAATGGTGACACAAGCCTGCATATGAAATGTGCGATCGAACATGAGCAGTTCCGAATATTTGCTGCTTGGCTGCACTTACCATTTTGTTCAATCTATAGCGCTTTTTATTAACAATAGTGATGTCACAGGGTCTTTTACACGTACACATCACTGCAGTACGGTGACAAGTGAAACCACTGGAGGCTAGCAATGAGGACATTTCCAGGGGATGATCAAAATACACCATATAAACAAGGCTCTACCATGAGTTATATGGCAGAAACGTATGTCAATGGGTCGATTTAAATTGCATGGCATGATGGGATATCATACTGTTTACATGTTTTTAAATGTATTTGTTAGCACTCTTTCAAATTAGTCCTGTTTCTCACTTGAGGCCAGGAAAAGGCTAGTCTCTGTGACCTTTTTACCTGTGCTGGAATATGATGATCTGATTTATATGAATGCACCTGCCCATTACCTGCACAAGTTAGATGCCGCCTATCACAGTGCGCTGAGATTTGTTACCAACTGTAAAGCACTTACTCATCACTGTACCCTGTATGCCAGGGGTCATCACTGTATGCCAGGGGTCATCACTGTATGCCAGGGGTCATCACTGTACCCTGTATGCCAGGGCAGGTTTGCCTTCACTTACTGTTCGGAGGCTCAGTCATTGGTACATGTTCATTTATAAAGCCATGTTGGGTAAACTCCCATCTTACATCTGCTCTCTGATCTGAGAGTTGCAGGTAGCTATTGCCTGAGATCACATGATGTGGCTTTGTTACATGTGCCAAGTGCAAGGACTGACTTAGGTAGGAAAGCTTTTATGTGTGCAGCTCCTCTTGCTTGGAACAGTCTTCAAAAAGATTTGAAACTGAGCAAATTGGTTCCACTGCATGTTTTTAAAGCTCGGATAGGTGCAATGATACTTGATACTGTTGGTACTTGTCAATGTCTCTAGGTATGTAAATGTAGCCCTGTAAATACGATGTCCTTTTGTGTTATCTGTTGTTTTAAGTTCATGTTGTTATCTACTTGCTGCCAGGTTGGACAGGTCTCCCTTGAAAAAGAGATCGATGATCTCAATGGGACCACCTGGTTAAATAAAGGTTTGAATGAATGAAAAAATGCCGTTTACAATTCAGCATCAGCATCAGCGAGGAGTTTGACAGCTATCTTCGCTGTGTGGCTAGCAGGCGTAGCATCACGCCTGCTAGCCACACAGCGAAGTTAAGTGAAGCTAGACTCTGCGAGGCGAAACCATCACTGAAATTAGCGCAATTTAAAAAGTGTGTATGATACATAGGGCTAATGTTAAAGCATACAACTAATACATAGAATATTCTAGATACAGTCAAATCGACATTATCAAGTTCTCAACTGAAGGACATATTACCCACTTTAAGAAAGGTAAAACAATATTGTAATTTTGATATGAAGGTTTTTGTATGTCGATAATAGGCGACTGAATAGTTTATCATTGAAGTAAAGTTAATACATTCACCTAATGACAGGTGTTTGTAGTTCCGCTTGACAGGAGAGGGCAGAACTATAACAGGAACTAAGCTAAGTTCTCCTTATCTAAAAATCAAAGTGTCTCATTGTGTACACACACCATACTGCCCAAATGTGGTTAAATCCTCTGTAAAAAGGAATAATTTTGGTACTTGACCTTTGCTAGCTAACTAGCTGTCACCACAGCACAGTGCAGTAAAACTCCCAGGCTCGGCTTCTTCTGTCAGGAAGTGCCGAGGACTGAGAGCAGGGAGCAGGCCTTACAGACTGAATGAACCAAACACCCGCACACTGCTTACCGTTTGATATGAGTTTGGCCGAGAGCTGTCGTACTAGCTCCGGTATCTTGTCCCATTGACTCTCTGAACGGCACCGCTCTATCTCGGTCTCCAGTCGTGAGCCAGACTTCCTTGCTGTCATTTTTGAGAGTGGGCTCGCCTGGACCAAAACACCACAGGAGGAGAATCCCTCTCGCTGTACAGGAGACAAGCTACCGCGAAGTACAAAGACAGCTTCCGCTCGATACTTTCAAAATAAAGCTTCAAAAACCAATGGTTCCAAGTTTATGAAAATACAAAAAATGACTGATTACTTTTTATATTATATGTAATATATTCATATATATATAGAATATGTATAACCACCATCCACAGAAGGGTTCAGATTCTTAATAAAATTGTGTTTAAATTGATCAAGTTACTTTCCATTCACACTGTGTATGGTTATAGTTTAAAAACATTATTGATTTAGATTTTTTTCTATAACTGTTTATGCTTCCTCTTAATATCTAACTAATTACATTATTTATGCGTTGTTTTCTTTCTCTAGAGTCTAGATGCACACAGTCACACTCACTAAATGTCCCCCAAATATTGATCAACAATTACAAAATGTGCAGCAAAACAGTTATCAACAGTTATTTTTTTAGCAAGGAAGGCTTTTATTCTGAAAAAGTCAGATAGGAAGTGAGCACGCAGTACCCAGACAACCACATCGTTGTGAGGTGGAAGGAGTGACTGCGATGGCAGATTTGTCTTTGTATTTAACGAATGTGAATGTTTCACTGGGGCAAACTATGGAAACTGATAAGGTGAGTCCGTGTTATACTACTTTATTTGGTTTTCTTGTTTGTGAATGATAAAACACTGACTTTTTGTATTAACAGTGGATTACTTCCTTAGCCGCGAAGCTAACCGTCAACAAACAAACAAAGTAGCTAGCTAATAAGCTAACTTAAACTTTTGTTAAAACATTTGAGACTATTTACTTGACTTACCGTACTTTGTAGTTACACCATATTAGTAAATGTACTTTTTATCAAGTTAGTGAATTACTTCGTAGGTAGTTGAGTTTGTCATGTTTTACTTTTTACGAGTTCATTGTGCCAAATATGCAGCCAGTGTGGGAGGGCACATCAAACACCATGCAAATATATGTTAGCATGCTCGCGCCTTGTCTAAAAGCAATAACAAATAACTATTCATAAAATATTCTATATTACTAATTACATTGGTGATGAAATGATATACACGTATGGTCTGTCCTGACAGGGTCTAAAAGGAGAGACAGACCTTGAGAGGGTGGAAATGGGAGACTCTGCGGGGAGGCAGAGCAAAGTGAAGGTTCCTCGCAGGACCATCTTCTTTGCCAGTGGAGAGACCATGGAGGAGTACAGCACTGATGAAGAGGAGGAAGTGGAGGAGCCTGTGAAGAGAGATGTCTTACCTGATACGGTTTGAAACTCACTTTACTGAAACCAACAGGATTGTACAGACTCTAAACAAGCCTCAGATCTACGGCATATCCCTTGTGAAGTGTTAGAGCAATCTTAATGACCTGTCATATGCAAATCCATTACAATGTGGCTATTAACCTCAATACATAAGAAGCCTAAAACATCAGCAAATAGCCTCAAATGTGTTGGATATATTAAAACAATCTGACTTTGGCTTCTGCTCGGGATGTTATTTGGAAATACAGTGGTGGAGTCAGTATTATAAATCCCTTATTCACCCGGCAGCAATCATTTACAGCAATACAACAGTCAAATAAAAAGGCTGCTAAGTTGAATCTTGCTGTTCCTTATCACTACACTGCTGCCTCAGAAAACATGACTTTGGATAGGGCAGAAACTAAAGATATGTTGCATTATTGATTTTTCTGGCAATTATTTCCTTAATTAATGGTTTAACATTCATTCTTAAGTCCTTTATTATGATATCAAACAGAGAGAAACAGACAATCTTCACATATGAGAAGCTGAAAAAAGCCCTTTTGCATTAAAAACGATGTTTATGATTAAAAGTGAATATAATTGTTGTTGTTTTTTCCTGTCAAACAACTAATCAATTATTCATTTTTAAAGTGGTATCCTAGTGTGCAGTATCATAAAAAGTGCAAAGTATTTAAGTGGAAGAGTTTTAATATACAATTGTTCCAATGGCATCTAATAGTGCAAAGTGTTTCAAGCCTATGCATACTTGCTATTACAATTATGAGGGGGTCCTTGGAAAATGTCCCTTCTTCTAACCATGGGTCCCGGCCCCCTCAACATTTGAGAACCACTGCTTAATGTGATGATGTGTTCTTAGGTCAATGGTGTTCTTTTGTGTTTTACATTTTCATGTTCTCCTAATTTTAGTCCAAACTGACCTGGGGTCCATACTTCTGGTTCCACATGTGGAGAATGGGCACTTCTACTATCTCAGGTAAAGAAGATCTACTCTGTCAGTTGGCACTCATGCTAGCAAGTACCAATCGCACCTGGTTCGGTAATCTCAAGAGATTTTTAGAGTTGTTCCAGACCAAGTCAATCATTAAAATGTTATAAATACTCTGCAGAAATACTGGAAAATTAGCATACTTTCAAATAAGATGCTTTAACTTCAAATGTTTTTAGCTTGAATTTGTATTCCTTCATATCAAAAGGTTCAAGAAGAGATATATATATTTGAGTGTATGTTTCTGTTCTGTAGTGTGTGACTTCATGGGAGAGAGACTGGCTTCACTGTTCGGCATCACTTCTCCTAAATACCAGTACGCTATAGATGAATACTACCGCATAAAGAAAGAGGTAGGACACATGTGCACACACATCCTTGAGTTTCATTGCAATGTATATGTATTTATATAAGGGATGATTATTTTCTCAATAATGACCGGCTCGCTGCAAATGACTCAAATTATTACACGTCTTCTTACTTAATAAAATAATAATTTGACTCCACAATAGTCAATTAAAAAAGACTTTATTGATTTTAAAATTATATTATTTTGTCCCTTTGACAAAACTAGTCTGTTGTACTGTGCATGACTTTTTCTTTTCTTTACTGGGGACAGTTTAGCCATCAATAATGCAAAGTTTCATGCTGTCCACAAATATAGAAATGAATATTGAAAAAGTATTTCATGGTGTTTTCTGGTAGAGGAAAACAAATTATGTTTTGGGATATAACTGATGTAAAGTTGACCGGACTTCTTTTTCTGCGGATTGATATGACCACACAGTCTTTTGATCGGAGCATCCTTAGCAACGGTCTGCTTTCGAAAAAGAGCAGATGGCTGAATGTCCAAATTGACAAATCAGAATCAAGTGTTCAACTAAGCCGTATAATAAGTAAATATATATAAAGTCACACCTTTTTAAACCTGTTTGCGCAATGGCTGCAGCAGGAACACAAAAAACAAATGTCAAACAATAGATAAGTAGTACTAAAAGCAACACACTCCACTGTCCCGCAGGAGGAGGAGGAAGAGGAGGAGAACCGTCTGGCTGACACTGCGGAGCGTCGCTTTGCGGACCAGAGCAGTGGCGAGCAGGACGACCCCCACCCTGCCACCGTGGAGCAGCCGGAAGCTTCCAGAGCCTCCTTTGTAAACATTAGCTTCGAGCTGGAACCTGAAGCTCCTCTCAGCACCGCAGACACCAACAGAGTCCCCTCCCCCCTGCCCTCATGAAAACTCCCACATTTCTCTCCGTTACAAGTCCGAAAACATACATTTACTTTGCTTTATAGATTATTAATACTGTTTTGTTTTTTTGTCAGTGCAGGGAGAAATACAAAGGGCTGTAGCAGTGACTGCACTCGCTGTACCTGTAAATTTAAAGGGCATTTCAATCCTATGCAAGACTGAGAGGTATCTTTGAACTGTTTTGTTGACCAGAAAAAGGTTCAATTGAGAAAGGGAAATAAAGGCTGGATGTTAAACTTTTTGAGAAATAGATCATTCCTCCCTGAGCATGAACACACACATGATTCTACTACTGGATATATGCAAAGTCAGACATTTCATAACATTAGCCACGTTTGTAGAGACACTACCCGAGTTATGGCGTAGGCTTGGGTTAATCCAACATCTACATTCACAGGAGTAAGATTTGGTTTCACATATTAGCTAATAATATCTATCTAGCATATGAATCTTCCTGCAGGTGTTCTATAATATCTGTACTTAGCAGCATATACTAACTGATTTTGTGGCACTCCTGCAAATAATTATAACTAAGATCCAATTCATCTCTAGATAGACTTAAAAAACCTCCTGGTCACTATCGTGTCTTTTCAGATACAGATGAGTGTTGCACCACTATTGTGCAGATGGATCTATGTCATTGAGATTTGGAGCCATGTAAGAAGTAGCAGTTTTTGTTCAAATGTACTTTAATACAAGAAACGTTACGATTTCTTTGTACTTTCTATGTAAACATTGTGATTCTGTGATGATATCAATTGACAAAAAGAAACAATCTATGGTAATTGTTTTCTTCAAGAAAGGGCTAATGTTGGCAAATATTGATTTAGTTATACAATCTGATGGTACTCAAATGTATTGTTGACGAATGATCTACACTATTGCCTTCATGTTGTTGTTGTTGAAGGTTCATCTCAAAGTGTCCTTGTTGAAGCGTCTGAGTGTAGCAGCGTAATGCTGAGACTGAGCTATCGTAAGCTGCTTATTGATACTTCTATCCTCCCACATGGCTGAGTGACATCACATCTCAGCCTGGAATGGTTCAGATTCACAGAAATGACAATGATCTAGTTCAAGAAGAGATTTATATATGGGCTTTAAAGAAGTAGTGAGAGCTAGATTGCAACGTATCAGTATGTTAATAACACTGTGGGTGAAGGTCTGTCTGTAGGCAATGAAAGATATTAGTTGTGCTTTTTAAATGTATAAAAAGTTCCAATGTGCTAAAGTTATTTTAACAATCCTTTATTGAATATGTGTATACATATTTATATTTTCTGTGTTAATAAAACCGTTAAACATTCAAAAGGTTCTTCTGTTTTTAATTTTATGCACAATATTTAAAAAAACAAAACAATATTAAAGGTGAAAAGCAACTACAGGTACAACATTGATAGAAACATATATATATATACATATATACGTGCGTGCGTGCGGGGGGTTAGAGGATTGCTCTGTGGACCGTTCGGTAGCAAACTGAAACGGGTCCAGCGATGGGGGGAGGGTGGATTTGATCTGCTTCATGACCAGCCTTTCGAAGCACTTCATGATGGTGGAAGTTAGTGCGACGGGGCGGTAGCCTTATCATTTACTGTTTTCAATTACTGAAATATAGAAAAGGAAAAATCTCAAGGAGTTACAAATATATATATATATATACAAATATGTAATTTTTGAAGTGGGTGTTTTAGGTTGACATGGCATAAATTAACTTAAGCAAAACAGTGAGCCATCCATTATAGCCACTTTCAATTGAATTTGACAGTCATTTAAATGACATTTCTATTATACAAAGAAAACTGAAGCATGTAGGCATTGTGAGGAAAGGAATTTTAAAGAAACATTTATTTAAAAAAAGGTCAAAGACAAAAACATGTATTACATCTTCTATACAGGAACATAACAGTCAGGAACAAAAAGCACTGTGTGTCTCCTCCTTCCATCAATCCATTCATTTCTCCAGGCTCTGGGAAACAGGAAGTGTTCAGTGCTTTCAGCTTGGAGCGTCTCTTCTGCCACATAATCTTCAGTTGTCGTCCAGATCTGCCGTGCTGCTGCCGTCGTTGTCGCTGGCAACCAGCACCTCTCTGTTCTCGTAGGTCCAGAAGCCGTTGAGGTCGATCAGGATGCTGGTGACTGTGTCGCCCTGGCAACTGTTCACCAAGTCCTGGAGGGTGATCTTGTAGGGGTCTTTAGGCTTCACCATGTCGTAGATCTCATCCTGAGGAGAGGCAGCGATCAGAAACTGAATTCTTCACCCAAAAACCCCAAAAAGTCTGGATTTGTGTGAACTTTACCTTCACATCCTGGAACGTGACCTGCTCCTGTCCGTGGAGTTTCATCTGCTCCTGAATGGCCTGGAGAACAGAACATGCAACAGCATCACAGATGTGTGTATTCTTGTATTTCTGATGTCCATACAAATATACAAGTAATGTAGTCTAGCCTTAAAAAAAGGCTAGACTACATTTTAAATACTTTTAAATCCCAGGGGGAAATTGATTTTTGGAACAGTTGTTCCATTTAGAATAAATCAATTAGAAGAAGATATTATGAACAAATACATACAAATAAATAAGAAAACAAATAAAATAAATAATAATAATCATTTTTTTTAAAAGGAATGAGAGGATCTAGGATGAGAATTTACCCTGAAGAAAAAGTTGAGGGAGAACACGTTGAGGTATCCTCGATTCTCCATGTCCAAAAGTTTGAAAATGTACTGCAACGCTGCCGGCTCCTTCCTGTTCTCCAACGCCAACACAAAGTCTAGATAGGTCTTATAGTCCTGAGGTAAAGGAAGAGACACACAATTATTCATTCTTAATCTAAATGTACAACTTAGACCCAGGACACAAGAGTCCGTAACATAAAAGGATGCATAAGAGGAGAGGTATAGAGAAATGTCATGTAATTCTCAAATGAATAAAAAGTCTAAACCCTGTTCACCACTTATGTGCCATTTCTGTCTTTTTGTTAGACATCGCTCTGCAACACTATTGATTAGAAACCACTAGAGTAACAATTGAGTTCCAGGACCTTTGTATCATAACTCTGTTTCTGATCGTACCATTTCTCCGTCGTAGGTGAGGCACTCCTGGAACACTCTGTCCAGGAAGACTGAGGTGAGCGTGGCTGTGCCGTAGCGTGAGAGCTCCTCTTTGCTCAGCATGCCGTTGTGGTCCTTATCCAGGTTCAGGTACTGGCCTGTAATGATACAACACATCATAACTGGAATCAACTTTTGTGGATGTTTGATTCTGCTAAACCAGCCAAGTTGCAGTTTACTGTTATTTATGTCAAAGAAATGTCATCACCTTTGACCACAATTTCAAATCAACCGGCTGTGAGGCATACAAGTCCACAAGTAATAGAAACAAAATCATGACCAGTGACTTGCTCTAGTCTATAATTTTTCCGGATTTCCTACACTGACAAAGCCAAGCTACTCTATTTCTATTGACTCAATATCCCAGTTTCTGCACCCACAAAAGTATTTTAGTTTGGTTAGTTCATGTAATATTTGATTTATAAGCCGATAACATTCCTTAGGATCATCATGAAGACTTGATGAGAGACTGGAAGCCTGACATTCACGCTTAGACATTTTCTCACCGTAGACTCTGAGAGCCGAGGGGGCAGAGAACCAGTTGGACTCCTGACTCTCTTTAGACAGCTCCTCGTCTCTCAACTGGGAGCAGAGAGGAAGAGGAGAACAGAGAAAGAGAGAAGAAGAAAAACATGACATCAGCTGGTCTGTACACTGGTGGGAATATTGCTTAATGATGGAGTTGCCCTTACAATTTGATATAAGACAGTATTAATCCAGATAAAGAGCTACGATCCTCTTTTAAAGGTCCCATGACATGGCCATTTCTACTGATCATAATTCCATTGTTGAGGTCTACTAGAAGTGGTTTCTCATACAGCATCTCTGTATAGTATGTGTATTCACTCTCTGTCCTAAACGGCTTGTTGGAGCTCCTGCCCCCCCCTCCCTATGAGCCCACTGTGCTCTGATTGGTCAGCTCGCCCACTCTGTTCTGATGAGTCCACCACCGTTACAGCGGAACATCAGTGATTATGTGTTACAATGGCGTTAGCAACCAGAAAATGACACCAGTAATGACAAACAGATGAGAATGCTGCGTGGGGTCTCGGTGCCGTGTTGGCGGGATGTTGCGGGGCTCGCTGCTGTGAGGAGCGGACAGTGTGAGCTGGCTTGGTGTCATTTCCTGGTTGCTGCGTGGGGTCCTGAGCACACACAAACACTCACAGCCGAAGTAAAAACAATAAGTGTGGCTTGATATTGAGTAAGAAAAAGGTTTATAACGCTGTGAGAATGGGTCCGCGGAGAGCATTTCTCCGCCATCCCAACTCGTCTATTACCAACGTTCACTGCGTTTGATAGTGACGCCAAGGGATCCTGGTGTGTGAGGAGCTCCACGGATTGGTCCATTTTGGACCAATGGGTCCCCGGGCGCCTTACATAATGGCAGCCCACTGCTCCTAACACTAGGATGGGTCAAATGCAGAGAAACCGTTTCGTTACATAGTACCTGTACTACGTAATGACAATAAGTTGAATCTTCAATCTTCTTCATTTGGGTATGGTCACGTCACTATACCCAGCAAGATCTCCAACGAGGCGTTCTGGGGCAGCATAGACAGGTCTTTTCTGTGTTAGAGTTTTACTCGCTACAGGGTGTACTTTGAGGGTTTGTGACTCTGCAGACCGTTTACATGAATAAAAACCTTCATAACACACAAGGGGACGGGTAATAACCAGAAAAGCATATGATGGGACCTTTAAAATATGAGCTTTGGTCCTTTTACTGCCGGCTGGTAGTGTAGAAACCAAATAAACTTGTCACGTTTTATTACATATACCTACAACAACAAAAACGTTGACTTGACAAAAATTAGAGTAATAAAAAAGGTTCTACCTCCAATAAATCGTCCAGAAAACTGCAGGCTAATATATCCTGGATTTTGATCTTTCCTGAAAAACAAAACAGACACTCTCAGTAAAGGAAATAAGTTTAATACTTTAAAGATACATTTGTATAACGTGTGTGGTTCAGACTCACCTGTTCGGAGGGGGTCGAGGAAGAAAAAGAACTTCCTGACAGCGGTGCAGACGTAGAAGGAGTAGAAGGACTTCTCCAGTCCGTCCAGCTGAGGCAGAGTGGGGATCAGCTCCAGGATGTAGTTCTCCAGATCCTATTTCACAAAAATGATGGCTTTTAAGAATCATTTCAGCGCATTGAAACTGTTTAAATGTGTCTTTAAGTGATGGAAGTGCCTACCGACTCTCTGAGGTGGCCCTGTCCTGCTACATCATACAGACTCAGGCCGATGCGGGTCTGATGCAGCCACACTACAGAGAGAAGAGAGTACAAGATAGTCACCAGTTCAGATGAATGCATGTCAGTAAACTAGGCTGGGAGATACTTAAACAAACGAATATAAAGGGAAATATCCTAATATATGCTTATAAAATGTTTTGAGTTACGGTAAAGGAGCTTTTTGACATTAGTTGTACCTTCTAAAAGGTATTGTATATATTAAACATGTAAAAAGAGGAAGAATATGAAGGTCCGGACCTTTCCTCATGACGTAGTTGAAGAACTGCATGATGGAGATCCTGCCGTAGGGGTCGCTGTGGAGCAGCTTGGCGTACACTCTGGCTGTGAAGAATTTACTGAAGTAAAGAGAGGAGAGAAGGGGAGAGAAACTTTTATTTTATTTGATCTTACTCTATTTTATCTGAAAGCCCTTTGAATCTTCAATATTAGGTTTTTACCCCTGGATACAGAACTATTTTAACGGGACCTTTTTCTTGACTTTTTGAGATTCAATTAGTCTTCTCTATTCACATCAAAGACCGATTTCCATTTACATTAAAAAACATTTAAAACACTTTTTTTATTAAACATCTTTGGTTTAAGATAATGCATCATTTGCAATTGTAAACACTACATAATTCCTAATAAAAAATAATTTGTCTTCATGGAATATTTCAACTGGGGAAATCTATGGTGATATATATTAGTTATTTGTTTACTCTATTCACCTGTAGTGTCTTGCAACATGTAAACAATTCATACATTATTCATCAATGGATCATTTTAAACGTTGTTTATTCTTAAAATGAGTTTTTTCTCAAACTCCTCAATCTGTACTTCAGTAGCACTACAAAATAACTTTCCAGTAGTGACACAATTGTTTTGTTTTGCCTGAATACAGTCGTACCCAAAGGCAAGACACATTGACGCCTAAGGGATTTAAGAAGTGACAGCAGAGGGATCTCCCATAATGAACCTTTGATCCAGCATGAATCCTTGGTGCAAACAGGAACACACACAAAGACTGGCACAGGGAGGGGTGTTACCCAAACTGTGCAGTGCCAGTAAACCTCTACTTCCTGTTCCTCACCTGCACTTGGGCCCGGCCTGCTCCCCCACCTGCTGGTAGGCTTCATAGCTGATCATGGCCTCCTCCCCGCTCACTGGAGGCACCTGGTGCTTATCGAGCAGGAACCACAGGTTCTACAGGAACACAAGGAGGAAGAGAATACAGACACCAAATAAAACCCTACAATGCTGTTACTCGTGTAGAAGTAGGTCATTATGTTGTGACTGACTGAAGTGTTTACCTGCAGTTCCTCATTATCCAGCAGTTCTCTGCTCTTCCTCTGCAGGAACACGGCTCTGGATTCCTCTCTCAGTTTCTGAAGTAACACTTCATCCTCTGCTGGTAGCTGCACAGCAATATAATCCTCATCATCACTAACACCATCACAAGTGTTTCAATATTTCTACTGTACCCTTCGGTATTGTACTGTATGAGCATTTTCATCACAGTTATTATCAAAACAGCTGAGTTACAGTCATTAGACACCTTGAAGAAAAACTGCATTTACTAGTTTTCTTCTTTCTGATGTAATATCTTTTTTTATTATCGTCATCTCAATGTGAGCTTGCCTGATAAACACGTCTTGAAAGACTGCAATGTTGCACTTTGAATATCCCAGTAAATCAAGTGTCGTCACCATATATTAAATCGCTCTTCTGACAATGATAAAATATTTACAAATATCACAAAGTGTGCAACAAATCAATTTTGATTAGATTTAATTTTGGGGACTGAGATGGATACTAGACATAGTCACATGTCAATTTAACACAATCAGCCACATTTGTATCAACTCACAAAAGCAACTAAAATATGATAAGACAATTTCATCACTGGAGTCTCCAGTAGGGGATTGGACAGAAATGGTGATTCAGACATACCATTGGAAACTTTAAAATAAAAGTGTATCTTAAAGATGATGATATGTATCGTTGATCATTTAATCCGTACAGCAATCAAGATCAATGTATTGTTATGCCGGTACTAGTAACAATGTATTAGATTACATTCTGTACTATAAAGGTACTATTTTGTCTGATGTGCACAATCCTGTTAACTTTGGGACTTTTTGTGAACATCCAGATGTTCAATAATGTTTTTAATGGCACCTTTTGTGTTCAGTTGATCAATTTGTTCAAGAATTTAGTAAATCATTTTTGAAAATCACTGAATACTTTTTGGGAAATATTGGCAGTATACTGAAAGCAGCAGAAAGGTAGAACTGGGTACACCTTAATATCTGCCTACTTATTGCTATTGATATTGTTAGTGTGATATTCAACAACAAATTGGCATTATTTTCTATTAAGCGACAATACAATCTATAAGACTTTACATATTGTTCTTCTTACATATCTTACACATTACTCTTTGAAATGTAATATTTAAGTGCACTTGTTTGGCAGATTCTGTTGTTGGGATTTAGTGATGTGAATCACTGGTCTTGTACCACAACACAATCAAAACGACATGAATGAAAACACTTTTCATTGGGTTTGTATGTAATGTATCAATATAATACCCTGTAGTAAAATCGTGGGATGGTCTTGTAGGACTTGTCTTTGTCGCCTCCTTCCTTCCACTCTGTATAGTATTTGGTGAACAGCTCTGTTTCTTCTGCTTTCTTTTCCTCTTCGCTCCTCTCATCTGTAACGTCACACCAACAGTTAATGTTGATTTAGCTAACAAGTGACTTAAGCTATCAATCCACAGTAGCTAGCTTTAGCCGCCGGTATGTTACATTAGTTTACATTTTTGTCTCACCTTTTTTGGTGTTTGCTAATCTTCTTTTCAAAATATCCGACCAATGAGGTTGTTTTTCTTCAGCCATACTTGCTAAGAAGCCAAATAAATATTTCGTCAGTATATTTTAGCCTTTCCAAAAGACAAAAATATGACAAAAGTAGACTTGTAGACTACCCAAAAGTGAGACAACGTCAAGTAACTGACTGAACAAGAGTAAGGCTTCCGTTTTGAGTTTAGTATTTCAAAATAAAAGTCTACTTTTGTAAACATTTGGAACATCTCATAGTCTAATGTTTGAGGATTAACAAAAAGGCAACGTATGTGAATTGATATTTATTCAAAAAATTGAATAATATTGTGTATTTATATTTGTTATCTTTCTGTTTTAATTGACAAAATGTTCGCCTTTATTCTACCGCCGAAATCGCGCATTCCGGTCTTTCTATGGTTATTTTTCACAAACTTGACACACGGTGCTGTCAAGCGTTGATGACGTCAATGTGTGCGACATTAGTCCATGCCTACAGTTTCCAGTTGCATTTGTCCATGAAGTAATTAAAAAAGATATATGCTGTTAACTTCTGATATCAAGGGAACGTGTGAGTCGCATTTAAAGACATATAGGTATGCTTCGAGCTAACGAGACAGTGATAGTAATCTTCAGATAGCAAGTAGCATTTGGAAACGGCAAGGTTATTGATACATGTAGCTAACAACATGTGGTAGCTTTATAGTCAGTTTATCTGGGAAATACCTGTTTATGTCATGTCAGTTAAGGAATATAGCTGATTTATAACTGAAGTGGATGTGAAGTGTAGTAATAGATAATCTAAGTTAAATTCAGAGGCTAACATGGGCTCCACATTGTTATTCAAAGGCAGAATATGCTTGAAGCCTTTCTATCACCGGGGGAGTTTCTTCACATTAAACTCTTCCATCTTCAAGTCATCACACCTGCCTCTCTCAGCACGCTCCCTGTGCACCAGAGGCCCTTTCCCCAAACCTGGAGCCAGGCACACAGACAGAAGTTCTGATACACAGGGGGGAGTAAACAAGAGCACCTTTCAAAACAGGGAAGAGGATTTTGGGGATGGTGCTAGAAGAGGTAAGAGCTCCACTGTTAGGCAGAAGCCTTCCTTCCCCAAATCTGTGTTTGCTGCCGGGACTGCAAAGAGAACAGCAGAGATCCAGAAGAGGAAAGCAGCGTTGTTCTTTCAGGAGGAGGAGCAGCATGGAGGGAGAACAGGTAGGACACACTGACGTGGAGTTCTGATTTGCTCACTAAAGCTGTCATACAGACAGATGTTTGTGGTGCACAAACAATTTAGAATACAAATTGTTTGAGCACTTTTAATCTGTGCACAAATCATTCCAAATAATTGTTGTTATACTTTCTCAATAGGCATTTTGCTAGGGCTGTGTATTGGAAAGAATCTGATGATATGATTCGTATCCTGAAAAAGGGGTTACAATTCAATATATTGCGACTCATCATTAACAAGGTGATGTATTGCAAATGTAATATCTTATTTTAGGAAAAGTGTCATTACAATGAACTCATCACCATATGCATTAAATCGTTTTTTATCCAATCAGGACAGTGGGCGCTGAATGTGCATTTGTTAAAGTCCCTGTAACTTTTAATCATTGCACAATGGTTTTTTGCAATCTGAGCAAAGCTATTAAAAAAGGAAATGTCAGGTTTGTATTTGTGTTTTGTGCCTCTACAGTTACATGTTTACATGCTTCAGTGTTCAAAGACGTCTTTACTTTTCTGGGAACCTTCAGGTGTTATCCTTTGCAGACCATTTACAAACATGCACACAAGCCTATACAACACACTACAGGAAAGGGGAAATCCCCACAAGCCTAATAGGGCTCCTTAACATTTTCCTATATCAATAAAGACAAAGATAGGGACAAATAATCTTGCAGTAAAATAAGTTCATAAAAAATGTAAACAAACAGTGAAAATGACATACAGACTGTATTTATTATTTAACTATTCATTACAATTGATTCATTGTTTTTGACAATTTATTCTATATCGCAATACTTCTAACACCTTTAAACTCTAAGTTTTGGTTAACTGTTTTTTATTTTTTGTTTTAGTGCCTAAATCCTAAATAAGTCTACCAAAATGTTTTGGAATAATAATTGAGCTTGATGTTTTACAGCGTCTCTGCAACCTCCCGATCGGCCGCTCTCTGCTGCTGAGTGGAGGGATCTGAAGGAGTCTCGGGGAAATGCACCCCGCTTTGACATCCGCATGATGGTACAACTGTTCACCACCGCGGCAGAGCTGAATATCGCTAAGTAAGAGGAGGACCAGTGTGTTTGTGTCAGTGATTTTGACAACTCTTATTTAGGTCTCAATTGTCCTCACTTTAAATATATATCTATTTTTTTGCTGAATCAGAAAACGTTTTATTTTCTGATAGGGAAATGTACTGTCCTCTAGCAGCAAGGTAGGGTGGCTGACAGGTGCAAACATGCTACAACTGCCCAAAACATTTCCTTTAGGAGAAACGCGCTGCAGCTTCAGAAACGATGCATATCTAAAAACACAAATGTGCCAAAACACATGCAAAAGAAGAAACAATTTCACCAACTTGAAGCAACATTCGCAGTGTTTACAAAAACTATACGCATGTGTTTAAATGTTGCGTTATTTTATTCGCAGTGTTTTGTATTTGCAGCTTTTCGTTAATGCATCGCTTTAAAGGTCCCATGTCATGGCCATTTCTACTGATCATAATTCCATTGTTGAGGTATACTAGAATAGATTTACATTGTTCAATGTTCCAAAATCACATTGGTTTCTCATACAGCATCTCTGTATAGTATGTGTATTCACTCTCTGTCCTAAACGGCTTGTTGGAGCTCCTGCCCCCCCCTCCCTATGAGCCCACTGTGCTCTGATTGGTCAGCTCGCCCATTCTGTTCTGACGAGTCAACCACCGTTACAGCGGAACATCAGTGATTATGTGTTACAATGGCGTTTGTTAGCAACCAGGAAATGACACCAGTAATGACAAACAGATGAGAATGCTGCGTGGGGTCTGGGTGTCGTGTTGGCGGGATGTTGCGCGGCTCGTTGCTGCGAGGAGCGGACAGTGTGAGCTGGGTTCATTTCCTGCTTGCTGCGTGGGATCTGCAAGACATCGCGAATGGACGCGGGAAGGGGGGGGGGTGCTGAGGGGGCTGCAGCACCCCCATCTGCGAGGCTCCACTAGCACCCGTCCCCCGCACCCCCAAACGTGGCGCACCTACAGTGTAAGCGCCCCACAGTTTCGCCGCTGCGATGCTCCACTAGCACCCGTCCCCCGCACCCCCAAACGTGGCGCACCTACAGTTTCGCCGCTGAGAGAGTGTGTGTGAAGAGCTCCACAGACCAATGGGTCCATTTGGGTATGGGCACGTCACTGTACCCAGGAAGAACACAATGGAAAAAGAGAAATCTCCAACGAGGCAGCATAGACAGGTCTTTTGTCTTACAGAGTTTTACTCGCTACAGGGTGTACTTTGAGGGTTTGTGACTTTGCAGACCGTTTACATGCATAAAAACCTTCATAACACACAAGGGGACGGGTAATAACCGGAAAAGCATGACATGGGACCTTTAAGTAAGCACGTTTCGTCAAGTTCATGAAGATGTTTCTTCATTTGCATGTGTTTTGGCACTTTTGTGTTTTTATATTTGCATCTGATGTATTTTGGGCCGTTGTCCACCTGTCAGCCACCGTAGAAAAGGACCTTTGCAGATGAAACACAAAATAAATAATAGAAAGTTGAAAAGAAAGCCAGTGCTAGCCTACTCTATATGTTAGCATATTTAAATCTCAAGCACTATCCCTTTGAGTTCATCGCAAAAATAAATGTCAATGACAGCTTTTCGTATGTTACTAAATTGAACTGTACCTTTCTACCACAGGTCGCTACTGACTTTTGTAGCCACGGAAACAGGGACGCTCTCCTATGAGCTGTTACTACGGTACCTGACGTTGTGTGTGCGCGGCGGACACGATGCCGAGGCGTTCGATGTCTATGAAATAATGCAAGGAAATTTCCCTGCTCTGGACACAGGAGCCTCCTGCCTCTTTATCCAATCCTTCAGCCGCACGGAGAGGTGGAGGGAGGCCATCAGCATCCTCGAAGAGATTAAGAAGGTGAACAGCGTTTAGATTTTTACCTAAAAATCACATAAAAGGGATAGTTTGGATGTGTTACAGTGCGGTTGTATAAGGTCAACTTTTTTCCAAATTCTGATATGCTGCACATATTTCATTTTCTAGTAATTTAAAATAGTGTATAAAATATGTTTATGTATGCACTGTTATACACCAAAGCAAATTATTTAAACGTGTACAGTACACCTGGGCAATTGACCTGATTCTGTTTAATAGGGTAAAAGTACTGGTTTTTTTTATGGAGTCTGGTGGCTTAAAAGAGAGCTAGATAACAGATTTAGTTTCCTGTCAAAAACATAGACTGTATATCTGTCTCAGAACAAGGTAAAGTGTTGACAAAATATCGAAATATTGCCTAAACTTGAACTGATACTGGGTTTTTTACGGTGGCTTAAATTTGTTTTATTGCCGTCCGCATCAGTACATTGTTTTTCTTCCTGCTTGTAGACTGCCATCTACTGTAAATAATACACTGACTATGGATAAGTACTTCACACAACCCCACTTCAAACAGTCCAAACTATCCCTTTAAATCCATATTGGATTTGGAGGACATGGCATCCTTACTTTATCATCACCTAGTTTTTCCGTTATCCTAACAGGTGTGTACCCCTTCATCAAGCAACTACGGGGAAATTGTCACCGCAGCGATGTTGAATGGAGACACCACCACCGCCTGGGCCCTGTATGATGAAATCATTGAAAAGGGGCGGACCCCGCACCAGGAAACCTGGGAGGCTCTGTTTAAGGCAGCGGGGAAGATTAAGCAGGAGGAGGCCATGTCTGCCTCTGAGCACCAGGAGAGGCTGCTGGGAATTCTGCTCTACATGAGGGACAACCAGATCTACCCCCAGCACGGCCTCACCAGCACCATCAATGCCTGGTTTGAAAGGTATTGGAGAGTGGGGGGAGACTTTCAGGGTTAGATGGGAAACTAAGGATGGATATACATTATTCTAATTCCTAATTTCAGCAGCTTCTGTTCTCTAGACTTTTGATATTAAAAATGGGGTTTGTGTGTGTGCAAAGATTTCAATGCAGGATCAGAAATCCTATATTCATCCCGAAGTGGGGAAATGTATGACGCTACAGCAGCAAAGGTATAGTGCAGATAAAAGAAGAAGGGAAACTGAGTAGGCTTACATAAAAAGGCAAACACAAGTTATTATTAAGTTATTACATTTTTTAAACAAATAAGCAAAACTAAAAAAGTTAAATTAACCAAAAATGATATATGTATTTATTTAAATTAAATGGCATTAAAAAACAGAAAAGGTATTATAGTTCAATCTATAAATCATCAATTAAATTAACAAATCTATGTTTCTTTAAATCTGCGATTATGTTATTATCTTAATATTATGAACTTATTTCCAATATATTTTTCTTGTGTTGCTCTTTCACATTACGATCAATGAAGTGTTAAAATAGGTCATGTCACATTATTCCAAGGCATGAGTGGGTCCCCAATATATTTTGATCTTGCAAGGGGTCCTTGGCTGCTCTATACTTTCATTATGACATCATTTATTTAAAAAACTTGAGTAAATTATACTAAAAATAAGAACACAACAGGTTGACTGATGAAATTATGTTATTGGAGAAGGGTTTTTTTCACATGGAGGAAAAAAAGGCTGGTTTTAACATCATCATGATCAGTAACTGTATATATAACTGTACATTTTCACTGAACTTTGGTCCCCTTACTTTCCTCAATTTTATATTAATAAAATACATCTGCAAACAAAAATTCATACCTCAAGTAATAATTCCTCACTCTCATTCCTCCATTCTCTTTTCGTCTCTTCCTCCCTGTCTCCAGACTCTCAGGACAGAAATGGACAGGAAGTTTGACCAGCGCCACCCCAAAGTAATTACACCACCTTCCTACCTCAACATGAATCTTCCTAGATTATTTGTCTTCATAGATATTAGTGCAAGGCCTGAATAGTGTGTTCTGTATGTATTGTTTATGAATATTTATGTGTGTTTTTAGGGGTGTGTGCCGCTGTTGTGGGTCTCAGTTGGAGTCAATCAAGCTGACTGATGAGGAGTACCAGCAGCTGAAAGACAGAGTGATGGCTGACATCATTCAGGGACGAGATGTTTTTGAAAAGACCACACCGGAGGTAAACACACACACATACTAAGAATTGTTTCCATTGGTCCATAAGATCTCTGAATAAGTGTGTTATAATTTAAAAAAGGCCATTAAGAGCATTTATATAGCTTAAATACACCTATACTTGGCCTTTAAGATATAGTATGCAAGTAGGTTTTTAATATTTCCTTGTATTCAGTGATATAAATCAAATCTAAATTGGTAATAACTTTTTTATTATTATTTAATTATTTTACAACTGTATGCAAACATTTAAGAACTCTCCCGAATTAGAACATATGGCACTATATAAATCCACAAAAATAAATAAAAAGTAAAATAAAAAAATAAATAATTTAAACAAAAAAAACAATTCAAAGACGGTCCAACCGAATACTTATTATATATTTCATGATATTGAATTGTATTAATTCATTTGTGCTCGCAGTTTATCCATTACATATGCTCTACATTTATTTAAATACAGGACATGATTAATAATAAATCATTCTAATCGTGGTGGGCGATGAACATTTGGGAAGTTTTAAGCTATATTCAGATGGTAAATCTCTAGTTGGAAATAACTCATCCTATATTACAACTCAATGATGTTCCAAATCTCTATTTTGAGGCTCATCTACGAATAGCATGGCACATTAGCTTTCTATCTCCTTCTCCCTAACTTCTGCTAGATGGCGTCATCGGTACACACGCAGCACCGCGCTGCTGAGGTTACAAACAGCTTCTAGAGAGTGAAACAGATTCTGATCAGATCTCCTTTTGCTGGTGTTTAAGTCGTTTTTTTTCCCCAGGTGTTTTAGAGGAAGTTAAATGCACAGGAAGTCTTCTGTTATTCCATGTCATTTTGAGGTATTCTGGCCTTTAAAATCCCTTTTTTGATAGAGATTGAGCTAATATCTGGAAGAGATAAAGCCTACTTGTTTCCAATCTTCATGTTTGGTAGCATAACCATTTTTTTCCCCTTGAAGTTCTTTTTTCAATTGTTTAAATTGACAACTTTACAGTATTAGCGTCCAATACTGCTTAATAATTTACCGTAGCTACATTTTAAGCTGTATTAACATAATAGAGCTAAGTAAAGTACTTTAGCCACATTATGAATATGAATTCATAAAGTTGATTGTGCTAAGTAATGTACCTTAGCTACATTAATAGGCTATCTTAGCATCTCACAGATTGTAATGTAATTTAGCTACATTATTAAGATATTAGCATCTAATTGAGAATAATAATATGCTTTAGCTTCACCATTATTATGTATTAGCATTCAGGGCCGGCCCTGACCAATTTGCTGCCCTAGGCAAGATTTTAGCTGGCGCCCCCCCCCACGAAAATGCAGACACTCACTATGACTCGCGCATGCATGCACGTGTACGGTTGTGGCATGACCACCAAAACAGAAAGATATGGACACAAGATGTGTGCAACTGTATTAAGTATCCTATCCATGTGAACATTATTTAAGTGGGGGGTGGACCTAACCTCCTCTAGGGGGGTCCGGGTGCATGCTCCCCCGGGAAGATTCTTTTTGTTTAATATTGAAGTTAAAAGTATCAATCTGGTGCACTTTGAGAGCAAAATGAAGAGATCTATGGATACATCTCTCAACACCCATATGAAACAGAACTGTAAACAGATTTACTTTTTCTTTATGGATGTTTTACAAATCACTCCCCTTTTAAACTGTGTGCCATAGTTTATGGCCGCTGTGCGCAATATAGGTGTAGGTCTGTTAGTATAAGATAATAAGATGTACTTTGTTGATCCAAAATCGGGAAATTGTGTTCTTATGAAATTTAAAAAAAAAATATTTTTTTACTTTCTAACTTTTTTTTCTTTTTTTTTTCTCCCCATCTTTGGCGCCCCCAATGGGTTGATGCACCCTTAGCATTCGCCTATACTGCCTATGCCAAGGGCCGGCCCTGTTAGCATTCAACAGAACTAAATAATGTACCTTAGTAATATCATTAAATTAATCTAAATAATGTTCCATGGACCTTAGCTACATTATTAAGCTGTTTTAGCATCTAATGGCGCATTTCCACTACAGTGCGGAGCTCGCTTTAAGCGTGCCGTGCCCGGCCCGTTTTTGGTTGCGTTTCCACTTGGCGTAGTTCCGGCTAGCGGGTACTATTTCACAGTTTTTCTGGCCCCATAAAATCGAGGTTCTTTCCGGGCCAACAACCAGGCTGAGTCGGGCTGAGTATGCTAAACTAGAGAGAATAGCTGGCAAGGGGGCTACAACTAGAACAAGAGGAACATATTTGACCGTGATTTAATTGTAATACACGTTTCAAAATGATGCCGAAGTAACAACATACTGATACCGGTTAGTAAAAACCATGAATTAATGCTTTGACAAGTCTGCAGACAGACGGCAGGCGAAAAACCTTTTAAAATGCGTGTTTTCTTAATGGAGATCGGCTAAGCTAACGCAGTATATGCTCCGACCGTCCACACTCACAACAACGCCCTATACAGACATAAATAAATCAGCGACTGTATTCGCCATGACACAGACAGTCTGTGGTTTGTACTCGTTTAACTTTTGTCTAGTTTCTGAACAGATATGAGGAGCTGTGAGCTCTGAGTGCTAACAGCTAACGGCTGATGTTGTTTTTCTGTGGTTCTCACTGAAGATGACGTCACGGCTCCGCCTACACTGCGTCACTATAATAGTTACTGCCCCAGCTACTAAACTGTAATGGAAACGCAGCATAAAGTGAGCCAGTCCTAACAAGGCCTAACGAGGCCTAGCCATACCGAGCGAGGCCGAGTGAGGCCCTGTAGTGGAAATGCGCCATTAGAGAGCTAAAATATATAACTTAGCTACATTATTAATATGTAATAACATCTAAAAAAGCGTAAAAGTGTAACTTTGCTACATTATCTAGTGATGTCTTAGTCTTTAATAGAGTTTAATATTGTATTTGAATTACATTATTAAGCTGTATTAGCTTCTAACAAAGCTTAATGAGGTACTTTAGCTACATTACCAATATGTATTAGCATTAATACAGCTTAATAATGTAACTAAGCAAAAACAACTTGCTGTATTAGATGCTTATAGTCTGTCTTGCATGTAACACATTTTAAACAGATTTTTGTAATGGACTAATGGATTTAAAAATAACATATAGCATGATAATTAGCACGTTTTAGCAGCTAGCTGTTTCTTCCTGTCTAGTATTTGAGGGGTAGGCTATCATTAAGGCTACTAAGAAAATTCAGAAGCATATTTCCAAGAAAAAATGTAAACTATTCTGCCACTTTGTGCATAGGTTAGTAATCTTTTACATAAAATATGAAATTGTAATGACATATTTGCATGTTGTGAGGTAGGAGGAGTCATTGTTCCACCTGGGCAAACATGTTGTTAAAGGAGAGGTGTCATGGCCATTTCCACTGATCATAATTCCATTGTTGAGGTATTCTAAAATAGATTTATACTGTGCATTTTTCCAAACTCACATTGGTTTCTCATACAGCATCTCTGTAAAGTACGTGTATTCACTCTCTGCCTTTAACGGCTCGTTGTAGCTCCAAAAGCTCCAGCCCCCACCCTCCCTGTGAGCACAGTGTGCTCTGATTGGTCGGGACGTTGTGAATCGCGCTGAGCTCCGTGGAGGTGTTGTTTCCTTGTTTAGGATACATAGCGAAACACAGCCAAACTCATCCTGAGCACACACAAACTCACATCCGAAGTAAAAACAATAAGTGTGGCTTGATATTGAGTAAGAAAAAGGTTGATAAACGCTGTGAGAATGGGTCTGCAGAGAGAATTTCGCCGCGATCCCAACTGTCTGTTATCAGCCTGCAGCCAGGGAGGAGAAATCAGCTGAGCTGCCTGCTCCCTGCACACAGATGTGTGCGTGAGGAAGTCCGTGGATTGGTCAATTTGGACCAATCAGCGGGGGCTTCACGTAGCGGCTCCGCGGACGTAACGTAGCGGCTCCACGGATTGGTCCATTTCGTTCCGGGTACGGCTTGACATCATGCCGTCCCGGAAGAATCAAATGGACAATGACGTATCTCCAACGAGGCGTTTTGGGGAGGTATTTTCTGTGTTAGAGTTTAACTCGCTATAGGGTGTACTTTGAGGGTTTTGACTCTGCACACCGTTTACATGCATAAAAACCTTCATAACACACAAGGGGACGGGTAATAACCGGAAAACCATGACACCTCTCCTTTAAGGTTCAGGGTAGCAGTTGATTACCTCGTGGTTTTAAGTTATTCTCCCATCACCTGTTAGATAGCAGCACCACACACATGCACGCAGTTAAACACAAAGTCATGTCTATATTTTTTGTATGGCACTTTCATAACAAAAGAGAGCAGCCTTTTCATGTTGCATGCATATGTACGTGCACTGTCTGTGTTAAAAGAGAGCCAGGACACAAGCTTTTCATAGGATTGGAATGTTCCGGCTGTGTCTTTTATGATGCCAACGATAATAAACTTAAAAACAAGGTTATTCACTTGAAATAGTTCCAAAAATAAATGTGGTAACATCAGAAACGTGTAGTTAATAGTATGTCATATATATTTATGAACAGGGAGACAGTTGGCATAGTTTCCTTTGTGTTTCTTTCAGTAGTCAAGGGGAGTTTGTTGGTGCAACAGTTAGTTAAATTGCGGGGATTTCCAGCATGTAGAGCACCATGTGAATCTGGACCACAACTACCTCCCGCCGATGAGACAGAGCTAGGGAGGCAGACAGACATATGCTCATCAGGACTAATTTTAAGGTCAAACAGGGTGCTTCAGACTACAGTGGGGCAACAGTGCAAAGAGGACGAGGGGCTGTGTTAGAATGTATGTGCTAGTTACAAGGTTACAGCCCGCAGGGAAGCATGATGTAATTTAAAGCACAGCTAGATATATAGATAGATGTTGCATTTTTACACTATAATAATAAAGACTTGTATAGTCCCTTCCTTCACATACAAAGACAAATAAAAGAAAGCAGGAGAGCAATCAAAGACAAAGTCATAGAAAACTAATTAAACCAGCAGACGTAAAAGAAAATGTGCACAAAAAAGAGAAAACAACGCCGGGAGATATGATCATGCTCTTGAGGTTTAGGAAAAAATCTGACGGCTGGTTTCTGGACACCCTGAAGCTGTTTAATAAAATGTTGACCAAGGCACGCAAACACAGCATTTCAATACATCCTGACAAGACGTGATTAAAGCATTAATAAAAATCTAATTTTAGCCATATTTTTCTGAAATTCTTGGCAACATGTTGAGCTAGAATGCCAAGACCAGGCAGATCTTGGCCATAATAAGGAGGTTGACTTTGGAGGAGGTACGCTGGAGCTCATCCTATTCAGGTGGTTTGGAGGACAAGTATACTACAACATTACATTACCTGGTATTTAGCTAATATGCAATGAAATACTGAAGACATGCCTGCCGGAAAAAATCTTTGGGAGTTAAGTATCTTGCCCAAGAACACTTCACCATGCTGACTGCAGGTGGTGGGATCGAACCACTGACCCTAAAGGAATGCCCAGATCTAAAGAAACCGCTGTGTAACTTGTCCGTGACACACACTAACAACCACACACATTAATATCAATATTAATTAACTTTTGCTTTTTTCCACATGTATTTATTAACACCCAAACAAAACCTGTATGTTTTGTAAGTTTGTAAATATGTAAACTTCATTTAACTAGTGCCTTTTGTTTCTGCATTCTCCTTGTTGCTATTACTGTTTTTATTAATGTTTTCGTCACTGCTTTTATTGATTTGTTTCTAATTATAAATGCATAAAGAGGGGCGTGCAAAGATTTGTTGTACCCGATGACAACGACAAAAAAACCCTCCTTATCCTGGTCCTGAATTTATTGCAAACTAACTGAACTGCCATTAATTACCACCGTTGGGAAAACTATAGTGTTTGACTCTTCTTTAACACGCAGTTTTAACAAATTGCATTCTGACGCTGTAGTCTCTAGTGGTGATCTATACCGTAGCATTGCAATATGTTAAAGGACATTTCTCATATTTCTTTGCATTTTGTACACCACTAGTAACGCTTAATGATTTATATACAGAATAGCAAAGAGCTTTGTGTCATAATGCTTCATAAGTAAGCTATTGTAGACAAGTGCAAATGCCTATCTCTGTGTGTGCGTGTGTTTTAAGCAGTCATATCATCCACAGCAGCACAATGAGCTGGTTTCACATATCAGCTGTGGAAAGTCCCTGGATAATTATACTGGACTTTCTCTCTTCCTCCTTCTCCTTGCTGTTATTCTTTCTTCCTTTTCTTTAACAAACTGATCCATGTCCTTCTTTTTAGGTTTGCTGCACCCTTTCTCCATCAAACCCAATCACCTTCTTCATCCATATACTTCCTTTTGTCAATTATCCACGGATTATCTTGTCTTTTAATACATTTATTTGTATTATTATTTTGCCTTCCACCTGAAACACACGTCATTCTTGTAGACATTAATTACTTCCCCGTTCTATTGGTTAAACAATAACAATAGACAATGGAGCATTAACATGTTTTATACAACTATTTTATCAGAGGAGGAATATTACAGCCTTTTTAACATTTTACAGTCACGCTGTGCGTTTGTGAGAGCGCACAAGTTTCACGTCCAGGGGAATTCACTGCAACCTATTTCCATACTGCTGCTATCTAAATCTGAAAGTACCAACAATGTTCCTGTGCTGCAGGCCTATTCTAAGCATGAGAACTGCTTTCCTGCTATGGTACAAAGCTCTAACAGAGATGGAGCCTTCATTTTACCCTAAGAGTGAACTTGTGGTATTTAAATAAGACAGATGACTCAAAACATTTAAACATATTTACCATGAGCTGCATTTTCAGGTGCTGAAGTATACTAACATTTTTGATTTAATACCTATAGGTGTTTCCAAATCAGACTATTTACTTAAATAATGTAGATTAGCCCCTTTAAAGTAGATCTAAAATATGTTTTGTCCAATAAGAAAGAAAGTCGCAAATCCTAATTGTATACAACATCAAACAGCGTATTGTCAGTAGCCAGCTGGCACTCGGCCATGTTAGTGCAGAGAAGGAAAGGCCAGGTAGATTCATTCCTGGCAGACTTGGGATCAGTCAGCCAACCATCAGGCCAGTCAACTCACAGCTACGCTCCTCGGCCACAATAAGGAACAAGATCCTGATGCTGTTTTTGGAGAGTTCTGCAGACCTTTTCTGTACATTTTCAGGACTGTGTCAATTTGGTCAGACATCCAGGTCATTAGCAAGTTCAATTGTCAGCTTTTAAGGCAGCTTCATTCACTGAAAGTTAACCTCAAATATGTTGGTCCAGACTGAAATACATAGACGGATTTCCGAAAATGTTGTACAGACATTCACAGTCCACTTCAGCATAAAAAACACTTACAACTTAAAAAAGCTGTCTAGCTCGCTGTAATGTAGAGAAGTACACATTTATTTTTTAAAACATGCGAATGATCATTACAATATTCTGTAATTACTTTCCTATCTTTTCAAATCAATTTCTTCTCTATGCTTCCACTAACCATTGTTTTCTCTATGTATCACTTTTTGTCTGTTTGTGTGTGTTCAGGAGTTGGAGAGATTCAAGGCGTTCGTGAAGAAAAGGCCAGCTTTTGATGTGGTCGTGGATGGACTGAACATAGCATATCGCACCAACGACACAACACGGCTGTCAGAGACGGTGAGAATAATGCATAGATGCACATGCATGCTTACTGTGATTTCATATTTCACAGGGTCAACCAGGTGCTCTTTCAGAATCCTCTCTGCACACACACAGTTTTACAGTCTGGATTGTACTGGTTTCTTCCTACACATGTCTGTCCAAGCCCGGGGCTTTTTTTGCTGCTTTCACAATGACTAACCTTGCAGTATGTGTGAGTACACGTGTGTAGGAGGTGTCTTCATAACTGGTCAGTACCCGATTTTTTTAACAACACCTAGCCTACTCGTCTACCCACATGTGTCTGTCTGGATCAGCATGTGTCAACTAGTACTTCTGGGTCTGCATTCAAATATGTCTCAACATTTGTGATGCTGTCAGACAAAGAGAAGTACAGATACAGACAGATACACTTACACTTATTTCCCTATATTGTCATCTATTACTTAGGAAAGCAAAGTAAGTTATTTAAATAATGCAAAAAGTCATATAAATTCAGATCAGAAAAACCACACAAACCTCTAGTCAAATGCCTGTATGAATGAAATCGTTGAATGAAATAGGTCAGCAACATGGCTAAATATAGAATATGAAATAGCTGCTAAAATTACTAAAATCACGGAAACATTAGACGCTAGTTATCAGCACACAGTAACATTTGCCAAGATTTACCAAGTTCACTTTCTATATTTAGCATGTTAGCATTTTTCAGTTAATGTTGTTTTATATATTTTAGTATGTTGTTTTAGTTGTTTTTTTACGATTTTTTTATTTTATTTATTGGACATTTTAAAACTTTTGAGGTGGGAGTGTGAGTGAACTTTGGGATTTTAGCCTTTACAGACCTTTTACATGCACAAAAACCTATATAACACACTACAGGAAAGGGAAAACCCAAAAAGCATAAAAGGGCCTCTTTAAAACTGTTAACGTGTTCTGAACTCTGAATGGGACATACATATCAGGACTGTTGATTCATAAAACACTGACTGTTTTTCCTCTCCCTTTAGCATATCTTGAAAAAAAGTTTCAATGTTTAGATAAATAACTGTAATGAGCTGTGTACATGTGTGTTTCAGTTGTTGGCGGTGGTGTCGGAGCTGGAGCGTCAGGGCCTGACGGTGCTGGTGCTTGGGAGGAAACACATGCTGCGGGCCTCCAGATCCTGGGACAGAAACAACATGATGCTGATCCAGAAGAAAGCTCACTGCTTCTTCACTGAAAACATGTGAGCACCTGTTCACAGAGAAGAAAAGCATGAAATATTCTTCATAGAATACATAGAAAATTCAGATTACCTAATGAGAATTTTTAAGGAGAACATGTGGAAGGCTGATTATCCAAAACAGGGAAAACCTTCAGTACAGTCATCCTCATTTAAACATGATATAATATATATCACTGCAATAATAACATAATTATAAATAATACAATATTTTAATATTATAGGATAATTGTATTATTTTAATGGTTTCTAACAAACTCTCAGCACCCACATATACGTGTCAACTCTTGACTGATGTTATAAAACACTTGTGAATGTTATTTTTTATAAAGACATTTCCTATTAATAACAGGTGGTGAATGAGGCCCAATGTTATCCCACTTTTTCTGAATGTATTTGTGGGGGAAACTTCTGAAGCAATTGGAGTCAGGACTCAGAGACACGAGGAGAGCTGGAGCTTTGATGGCATTCTCTGAGAGAATCATCAACATTGTGCATAACAAGATAGAATCATAACACCTCGCCAACAGGCAGGAACAGGGAGACAAAACACTGAGAGCACAGCAGCCAAGGTTGCAGGTGCCTGTGCTCAGTCAGGACAGTATGAACTGATAAACTGGGTCAAAGTTATGGGCCTTGGGAAATATTTCCCCAACAGTATTTACAACCTTGAATTAATGTGTAAACAGTTAACCTCATACCCTTTGCTCTGTGCCTCTCTCAGTTCGGAGGATGACCCCTTCATGCTGTATGCCACTTTGCATTCTGGGAACCACTGTCGGTTTGTGAGCAGGGACATGATGAGGGACCACAAGGCCTGCCTGCCAGACGGGGCCACCCGGCGGCTCTTCTTCAAATGGCAGAGAGGCCACCAGCTGGTGGTGGACGAGTTTGCCACGGCAGGCAAGAGGGTCCGATTCCAGGTGAGAAAGAGAGAAGGGTATTTTGGAGAGATTGGGCACCAAAATAATAAGCATACCCATTAACTGTGTGTATATGTGTGTGTTTTAGAGTATTCCCACCTACGACACCATTGTCCAGACTTCAGCGGACTCATGGCACGTTCCCTACGACGACACAGAGGACAGGGGCACCTGCGAGGTGCCACAGAAATGGCTCTGCCTCACCACAAAGCACTGAACTCACACACACACACACACACACACACACACACACACACACACACACACACACACACACACACACACATAACCATATACACACATATTACTCTGCTTTGATTATAACTGTTGACTTGTAAATAAATCATTTACCACAAGAAGTGTTATTCTTTCATTTAACCACAAAAAGTTGCATGTAATTAAAACATATTTGTGTTAATTTATTATAAAAAGTTATTTTAAAGGGCATTTCTTAAGTGATGCGAAAAATCATTCGAAATGATTAATAAACCAAACAATTAAAGTGGTCATATGATCATATGAATCATGTCAGGAGATGAGTTAATGATTAAAAAAAAGAAAGAATGAAATGTCAATAGTCTTAATGGCATTTTAACCAAAAATATGTATCTACCATGCATTGTTTTGGCACAGTATGAACGACCTGTTCTAATGTTGACATATTCCACATTTTAAGCAATTCTCAAGCCATGTCAATTTCTTTGAAATAATTGTTTAAACCGTAGACTTTTGTGAAATTTGCCATTTATAGAAATTCATCATATTCAGTAGGTGTAGTTGTAAGTGGTGAAGCCGTTCTTAAATATCCATGGTGAAGCCATGGATGTATAATAAGAACCATGAAGCCCGTAAAGTACAAAACAGAGAAGTTGACCCGGAAATATAAGGTTTTACTCTGAAAGAACACATCCGGTGTAGATGTTTCCCATGTTTTGACTGTTGCCTCTCAGTTCAGTTTCAATTTAAGTCTATACACGTTTACATTAGATATATCAAGCCGCCATGTCCCGGGGGTCCAGTGCGGGGTTTGACCGCCATATCACCATCTTCTCTCCGGAAGGAAGACTCTACCAAGTCGGTAAGTAGTGAGAATGATGAACAAAACTCAACCTGCTCTGTCATCACTACAGGCTAACATGCTAACGTTAGCAAGCAACTTCTATGTTGCACATTCGTACTTCACTGTTATTTAGAAAATACAAAATTTCACTACATTTTTAAAATGTCATAATGACTGTTATTAATGTATGTCTTTATTCAACTATAATGGAATATAGTTATTGAGTAGTAACTAAGTAACTGAATGTTTCGTTATGTTGCAGTTTTGCTAGCTTATCAGCTATCTTAATTTAGCTGTGAGGAGCTAACATAAGCTAATGTTTTGATAACTATTTGTTATTCAATTGGAATTATATTATTATTTAGCAACTAGTCAACTAACTTTAGCAATATATTCACTTGTGTTCGGACAATCCTTATTATTAATTTCCTACAATACGTTTTTTAACTGTGCTGTATTAAATGTAACAGTTTTAAACCTGTTTTACTAAAATGCCCCTATCCATCTGTCACAAAGGTATTGTGTAATACTGGGTCATGTTTATGTACAATTAAATGTTAAACAACTAACTAGGTTGAACCAGGGCAGGACTGGGACAATAAGTCAGGCCGGGAATGCCAGGCCACTACCAGTTTCTTTTGTGCCATTTTGTTGGATTTATTTGTCAATATTTACAGCGTTGCTGCCCATAGCCCTATAGTTTAAATCTACTACCCCAGAATAAACATATGGACATGGGTTACTATTCAAAAAAATGGTGCAAATGTATTTGGGAACCTATCCATGTGTACATGTTTTAAGTGGGGGTCGACCTCAAATCCTCTAGGGGGGTCGGGGAGCATGCTCCCCGGTAAGATTTTTTTTAAATTTTGGAGTTAAATGCATCAATCTGGTGCATTTTGAGGGGGAAATAAAGAGACTAGATCTATGGAAACACCCATATGAAACAGAACTGTATACATTTAAATAATCATAAAATCATAAGAACATGGCCATAACCAATAACATACCATAATACAATATGAAAAAACATTGAAACTTGTTTATTTATTTGTTTTTGGTTCATTTATAGTTGTGAGTGTGTCTGTGCTCCTGAATCAGCCTCTCCTGTCTCCCTCCTCTCCCCCCTGCTCCTCTTTGAGGCAGCAGCAAAGACTAGTTTTAGCTCTCAACAAGTTTTAAAAATGTATCTTACCTTTTTTCACCTATTTAACATTTTTTTCTTTTTATTCATGCATATTTGACTAATCACTCTCCGCTCAAATGGAAATATTTGTTTAAATAAATGGTGACCAAACCGTTTGAGACCCACTGAGATAACTTGGACTGAGCCTCTCAGTCTGACAGGAGAGGACTCTCCCTCCACCTTGTTGTTGAAACAGCTCCGTATATCCGTTAGAGCAGCTAGCTCGCACCAGATGCTAACAACAACAATACAAGTAACCGGTGCGCGCTCTCTCTCTCTCTCACTCGCGCCACACATACACACACCATGGATGTATAATAAGAACACACACCCTCTCGAGCTTGAATGACACACAGAGACCAATCGAGGGCTTTGATGTATGATCTGTATGACAGTGGCCATGTCGGCAGGCCACATCATGTGTAGACAGACAGTCCCCCTGTGTGAGGCAGACACACATTTGCGCAGCGTTGCGTTCACAATACATACAACAACAACAACAATCCTCTCGCCAGCAGGCCACTTAACAGGCCAGGCCATCGGGAAACCTCCCGGTCCTCCCGATGGCCAGTCCGGGCCTCGGTTGAACCCTGAAATAAAGAAAGGTTTGCCAGTATCGTGAAAAGTGCACTACTGTAACTAAATCTGTTTTTCCCCTTCCATCTATCTTCAGAGTATGCCTTCAAAGCCATCAACCAGGGAGGACTGACCTCCGTAGCGATCAGAGGAAAGGACTGTGTTGTGGCTGTCACACAAAAGAAAGTCCCAGTCAGTATACACAGACACACACATAAGTTTGTTTTTCTGTGTTTTTTACAAAGCATCTGGTCAGATCCCACATCTGTAATAATGATGGTCATTGCATTACTATTACTACAGTCCGGCAGTGGCTCAGTCAGTAGGGGCTTGGACTGGGAGCCGTAGGGTCGCTGGTTCAAGTCCCCGACCAGACCTAAATATGGAGTGTGGACTGCTACTTGGAGAGGTCCCAGTTCACCTCCTGCCCTGCCGTGGTGCCCTTGAGCAAGGCACCGGACACCCCCCTTCCCCCCCACTCCCATTGCTCCCCGGGCGCTGTACAATAGCTGCCCACTGCTCCTAGTACTAGACTCCTTGTACTAGGATGGGTTAAAAGCAGAGGCCAAATTTCACTGTGTGTGCTGTGTGCTCTGCATGTGTGACCATTAAAGAGGGTTTCATCCCTCCCTATTCTATTCTATTCTATTCTATTCTATGTTGTGTACCTTTCTGTGTTTACAATGTCTTTGTCTTGTTTTTCTCAGGACAAGCTATTGGATGCGATGACGGTCACACATCTGTACAAAATTACAGAGAACATTGGCTGTGTTATGACTGGCATGACTGGTAAGCAATGTCCACTTGAATGCATGCGTAACAAAAAAATAAGTAAAAATAGAGTGTGCTATTTCAGTCATTTGACAACTCTAGCTGCAGCAGAACATAACATAAAAGTTGCAAAAGTGTCGTAGCTAGCAAAATAAAAAACTAAAGTATTCCAAAGCTGACCAGAGAAACACATTATTTGCTATTATTTATTAATTTATTTTATTAATTTTATTTTACCGTGCACAATAATAGACATTTCTGTAAATGCGCCTGAGTTAGCTAAGAGGCTTTTTTTCATCTGTAATTCCTGGACAGATGTTATCCCTAATAACAAATCATTAAAAACATGCAAAATAGAGGCTCACAATAAATAAAATAAAACATACATAGCAAAAAGATAGACAAATGTGGATTGTTCTCTTTCCGTAGCTCAAATTCATTGGACATCAGCCTCAACAGAAAAATAAAATGGAATAAAATAACTTCTCCTGCATGGGATAATGCGATTTCCTCTACCTGTTTTCTTTTGAACAGTAATTGAAAGTGATTTAATTGGGTTAGTGACAACCATACTACGCCTATGACCCGTTTACATAAAGAAGTGTATAATTAGATTACACTTTATTGTCATTGCACAGAGTACAACAAAATGCAGTTTGCATCCAACCAGTAGTAAAGGGCATCCAGTTACAATTCATTTGCATAACAAACAATGTTATAGTAATGTAAAGAAAACGTATTGATATGAATTGAATGTACATGGAGAAAGTTGTCGGCTCTATGATGTATACATACGGGTGTGCCGGGGAAGAAACTTGGTGACGTATTTCTCCAATTAAATCGATACATTATTCATTAAAAAATGCCTTTTTTCTGCCTCTTCCTCCCTCCAGCTGACAGCAGGTCTCAGGTGCAGAGGGCTCGGTATGAAGCGGCTAACTGGATGTATAAGTACGGCTATGAGATCCCTGTGGACATGTTGTGCAAACGCATGGCAGACATCTCTCAAGTCTACACACAGAACGCAGAGATGAGGCCCCTAGGCTGCTGTGAGTCTCGTGTGGATTGTTTAACAAACATAACTTTAATGAGTTTCCAAATCCTTATTCTCAATAATGTGTTACTTTGTGAGGAGAGCTGTACTGCTGCACGTTTTCATATTTAGCGTTACTTAGTGATCTGAATCTGTTTTGTAAGGAGTGTAATAAGTAAAGTGTCAAAGGGTTTTAAAACTCAGCACAAAATATCTAGAGCTACAATCAAGATATTATATCTATAAAAACAGATATTTGTGTAAACATTGAACAAGGCTGTTTAATACTGTTTATGAGTTTTTTTCAAAGTGCTGTTTAGAATATTTATCAGAATCAGAATCCCTTTGGTAAATATGTATATCCCTTTCTTCACTCCATCCCCTTCCAGGTATGATCTTTGTGGGTCTGGATGAAGAGTTGGGTCCTCAGCTGTATAAGTGTGATCCAGCCGGATACTTCTGCGGCTTTAAGGCCACCGCAGCCGGAGTCAAGCAGACTGAGGCCACCAGCTACCTGGAGAAGAAAGTCAAGAAGAAACTGGATTGGACTTATGAGCAGACCATAGAGGTATTGCACACATATAGTGTAAACACACAGAATTAACAAAGTGATTCAAGATGTGTACATGCCCCTGGTGTATCCTCCTGGGACACTGGCCATTCATTTTTGTCCAATGTGGGAGACGTGAGACTAAGGCCCTTTATTTCAAACAGCATGTATG